TTTGTGTATCTTTTCCTTTTTCTTGTTGAATAATTGATTAAGTAGAGGAATAGAATTGCGTAGATGATGATTGATAGGACTTTGCCTGGCCTTGTATTTAGATGTTTTATTGATTTAGATGAATGATTAAGCTTAAGAAGTGGGTGAAAACATGATGTTTGTATTCAGGGCAAAGATCGCGGTTATCACAACAGAGATCGCTATCGTGATCTCGTAACAATAGCCCGTAATCTTGTCCGTGTTTATTTAAGGGAAAGCTTCACATTGCATCCATGTGTAATCTCTCCATCTTATCTTTTAGATCTAAATTCTATGTTTCTCCACCTCTCTTAGCTCTTTGAGCATATATTCTCTACTTCACTTTTGAGAAGTAATTTTGATTGTTTTGGATTTCCAACATGTCTTCTAGCAAGATAAGGTACACTTTTACATTTATCCATATTTTAACTACCTTGTTGTGCTAAACATGTGTAGAATGCTTCGAGGACTTGAAATGCTCATCTTCATATTGGCATGACTTTTTGATGACATAAGATTGCATTCTTTGCTTTAATGATCTTGATATGCATTTTGGGAGACCTTGGTGGGCTATTTTATTGCATTTCTTGAGTTTTCAAAGACCGCCCACCAAGTGTCCGTAAAAAATCCCCAATTACATAGTCCCCTTTGTCTTCAATCCTACTCTCGAGCATCAACTCCCATGCACTTGTTAACTCTTGTTTACGTGATTGTGTGTTGTTTGGGGAGATCCAAGCATATTGCCTTGTTATTGAACTTCATCTTCATCTAAGTCCTCTCTTTTGTGCACGCATTAGTCACACTCAAGTGTGGGGGAAACTTAGAGAGTTTATGTGAGTTCTTTGAATATTCCTTTTTGTGGTATGTGAAGTTTGGAATGATGGTTTGTGAATTTTGTACTACTTGTTTTGAATGATAATTTACAAGACTAAGGAAATGACCCTTGGAGAGAGTTCATCTATATTGAAGCGTTCTCGAACTTATCATCCTCACCATCGAAACAAGAAAAGTAAATCCAGATCAAAGGAAGTAGTTGTCGAAGAACTGCATCCACCATCACTCTCTCCCCATCTACCAAGGGAGAACCATCAAGATAATGAAGCCATTGTTGGACAATGTCCCCGAGCAATTTAAGGCTAAACTTCTGTGGCTTCAAGGACATCCTCTAGGAAATACTACATATCTCAACTGGATACTCTTCGCACAACTTGGGATCAAGGATGCGATCCGATCCAAGATTCAGAAGTTGAAGTGTCTTAAGTTGTTATCCACTAAAAAAAATCTACCGGGTACTTGTTCTGGAGTTCATTAGCACTCTTACCATTCAAGATATGAGAGGTGCTGCCGACCTTGAAGACAACTGATGGGTGCACGTAGGAGAGGGGGAAGTAGGCTAGGATATCGGGACCCAAGTGAAAACAAACTTGATTGCCACTATATGACAATGCCATTTGAAGTTAAACTTGTCGTAGGATGGGGTAGTTATTGAAACGTGCTAACTATTGACAATGACTTGCACGAAATAAATTGATCTCGGTTTGTTTAAATATCCTCCAATTAAAGTAGTGGAAGGAGATCACTTGATAGTAGGAGGTCAAGGAGCAGAAGTGGACAGCTACCATAAGGAGTTGAGGTGCTTGAGACGGATAGTGAGCTTGAGATTAGAGAGGATTCACCAGAGGCATCCCTGCCTTATTTCCTTAAGTTTTTCCATGGCAGCTCTAGTGCCAATAAGGTGCAAAAATGGAAGGAGATACATGTGGACCCCCAAGGAGAGCTAGATTGGCCAGACTTCAAGCGGTACCAGGGATGGGGCGTAGCTATCAGACAGAGACTCGATGATGCCATTCTCTTGTCTTTATTCAGCATAAGAGGAGAGAGCAACAATGTGATCACACGAGAGTTCCTTGCAGCCTTGACACTTCCTCCAACAAGTTTCTCCACCCAGACCTGCATCTCATATATACTGGCAGGATGGCGGTTCAACGACGTTTATGATAGCTTTTCTAGGAAGTTAGGGATCCTAGCCTTTCATGTGACAAGACCACTCTGCAATGTTTTCCTTAGAGTTACTGGGAGTCATCAGAGCAAGTGACAATCTTTCGGGAGTTGTGGAAGACGATGATAAAAGACCAGGAGGTCGCGTTTGTTGCCAGCTACTTGACACCAACCAACATTCGAATATCATTTCTGAGGTTCGTGCACTACTTTGGCCGAACCATCTTATATATGATACGAAGAGGAGAAGATGGGTAGGTGACCACCACCAACACGATCTTGTATCATGCCCTTCTGAACAACTAGTGACTTCATCCGACATGGTTGGTTGTTGACAACCTTCTGAGGTGTGCGACCATTACTTCTCCATGAGGAATTCCGGGAGGAGGCTAGATTCTTACTATAGCCAGAACATTGATGACAACATGGAGGAGTACAAAATTTATCTTTGGGGTGCTTTGGAGAGGGAATGACTAGTTTACAAACAACAAGATTTTGTTTTCGGAGTATAGAGGGTGACAAGAAAAAGAGTAGACCACCCAAGTAATTATTGCCCATGCAATTCAGCATGAACGGAAATAGGAAGACCATAGTGCATTTAAAGAGGATTAATGAGCAGCAAGGCGATGGAGTTGGCCACCCACCCACAACCACAGTATGGAGGTTTTGGAGCAAAGCTCGCATCCTTAAGAGAAGTCGTGAAGAGTCAGAAGGATAACTTGCTTGCATACCAGACGATGACCGAGCAACATTAGGATGCCTTTGAGAAGGAGATAGATGGAGCTTGAGGAGACTCAAGCTTGGTGCCAGAGGATGGAGACAGAACAATAGTGGAGCCATTCGTGGATGGTGGACTTTGGCAAGTCATTCCACACCCTTTTTCCCAGTAGTGGACCACCACTCGGACCTAGCATTTAGGAGTATCAATACTTTGAGGAAGCTATTTTTTTTCTTTTATTTGAATTTGAAGATTCGAGTCTACTTAAATAATCATGGAGAACTTGATAATCTGAACTATGAATTCGGATTTGGAACGGCAATCAAGGTAACTCGTTCCAACCTTACCATGACTCACTATCTTTTAGTCCATTGAGGAAAATGTCCATTTTAAAGCGTGGGGTGGGAATGGTTGATATTTTTCACCTTGATATGGTTATTACTTACTACATGATTAGTCATTGAAATTAAAAAAAATTCAATGCTAAATGGTTTCAATATGTGCTTGAACGCGTTTGAAATTACTAAAGTTGTTTTCCATCTAATTACTTTTAGTCATCCCTTACCAGCATGACCACTTCTCATCTTATTTTCAATCAATGAATCTATTTATCATCAATTAATCTAGGGAGGATAGTGTATTAGCTATGAAGGATGCAATAGTCAATGAGATATCATGACCATTTGATATGCTTGGATGTAATGTTGTTTGATCTCTTCAAAGGTTGCTAATTATGCGAAAGAGTCTCCGTTTTAATAATTTTAAAAGGGTTAACTGTATCTTGTAGGGAAATTAAAAAAATCTACCTATCAAGACATTATTTAGATAAATTTTTTTATGCTATCTCAAAATAAAGTGCGGCGTAAACCCAATATGTGAGACATCTTTTCATTACTCAATATCGAGTTTTTGAAGAGAGATACTAGTTGAGATTTAGTGGAAAGTCCTACAAGATAATGCTAGTCCGACACCCTTTTGCTTCATTGATCCTCCACAAGAGTTGTGGTATAGAAGATTTTAACTCTTGTGCAATCAATAAGGGTCTAATGCTTTAGTAAGTAAAGTGCCCTCCATACAAGAATATTTTAGAAGAAGATAAAAGGTTGGATGGAGAAAAATCGGAAAAAAATGAAAAAGAGCATGTGTTTGAACAAGGAAAAGTGCATAAAGAAATGTCAAGTTGATGGTAGAAAGCATTCAAAGTTTAAACGTTTATCTAAAACTTCATCCTATTGTTTGGAGAACCTAATGCATAGTTAGTATGCGGATAAGAGGAAGAACATCAATCCATAGCTAGATCCATCTTCTCCCACCTTGAGTTGAGCACTCCAATTGAATATTGGGTCAATTTGCACTTGAATTGATCAATAAATTTTCCGAAAATCTCCAAGTTCTCTCTCTCTCTAGGATGTCCCCTTCGCCCAAAAATAGTCCTTTATAATTATAGACTCGTGCCGAGGTGAAAGATAATGTACCTTGAGTTCACAGCCATAGCTTTGGTTTCAACCCGTGAACTCAACTCAAGACCGTGACTTTCATTCCCATCATCATGATTCCATTCTCATCACAGTGAGTTTGGGCCATGAGTAGGCATGCATTCAACACAAGTGCTCCTTCACACCCTTCAAACGACATATGAATTACCCAAAACTTGCTACACACTTTATTAACATGCTAGGACCTAAAATTAGGAGAGAAAGAACAACCTAACATAGATTGTGACAGGTGATCCGCTATAGTATAGGGGGCCAAATATGCTCGTGGGTTACCAAGATCGTATTCTCTCAAGTTCTTTCAGATTCCACTAGATAGATATTGAAGACTTTGTTCTTTGTTAAAAAAATGAGTTCGAGGCTAAGGTGCCTCGAGCTTTGTAAAGGAAAAGTGCATAAAACTCATAATAATAAACTTAAAGAGGCGGGCAATGAAAGAAGGCATTGTATAAGCAAAGCTCCTCCTATAATTATCTTAAAAGCATATCAGACCGATAATGTGAAGTAGATTTAAATGACGGAACAAATTCACACGGATTCATCCACTCAATATACTCCAATTTCCTACCATTTCCTACCATGTATTGATGGATGTCTTATTTTTGAAATGGACTACTATGACATGTTGGAAAACCAACCATTCATACTTGTCATGATTATCCTTTCGCATGTGTTGGCTACCAAGTCATGTATATGCCTTAGGTGTGCAATGAATCAATGAAACATATGGGTTACTTGTCACACAATCCACCCATTATTCTCAAGAGGAATAACATCAGATCGCACCTGTATTGTGCAAGCTAGAGATACGTTCAATTATATATCCCTCAGTTGGGTTCTTCCACTTCTTCTTTCTTGGCATATTGTAGTGTATGACTTATCAGATTGAGGTCCCATAGTATTCTTAAACTCCCAAAATGATTGCACAACAGGTTTATAATGTTCATGCCAAAATCAGAGGGTTGAGAATTCCAAATCCAATTTCAAAGCCACTCAAGTAGAAACATGGTTACTTGGTTACTCAAACAACATGATTGATGGACAGAACACCCACCCCAGATCTGATTGATCCACCATAGATAATACCCACCACGACCATCTATCTAATATACACCCCCCCACTATTTGTGACGCGTCACTTCTTGGTTTTGCCGCCTCCACCGCCGGCGTTGTTTCCTCCGGCCGCCGCCTGCTGTGCGGCCTTCCTAGCAGTCTTCTCCTGCAGAGCCTTTGCGTCCCTGTCCGTCAAAACCCCTTCTACGTTGTGAACCAAACCAGGAAACAAACAACATTGATAGGTCAGTGGGAAAGGAAGCGGAAGAGAGGATCTCAAACCTTTCACGGCGTTGCTCGGGAGTCAATCCATCGGATTTAGGCTGATTCTTCGACTTCCCACCAGCCCTAGCTTGTGCTCTTTCGCGATCTCGGTCCCTCTGGTTACCGCGTGCGCTTCAGTTAAAGAAAAGCAAACACATGCATCAAAAACGAAAGAGTCGCAACCACATTCTCCCGTTTGGTTGCCCAGAAAAAAAAAAAAGCAGGGGCTGAAAAGAATAAGAAGAAGCCCAGATTTCAGATTCGGTCTCAACCTAAGCTCAGCCGTATCTGAAATCCTCAAGGATTTTTCTTTTTCGTCCCTACATCAATTGATTCCAACTCGGCAAACAGATAGAAAGTGCGGAGGAAGAGAGAGTGAGAATCGGGAGATCGGAGAGAAAAACAAGCGGAATCAGGAAAGGATATGACTCATCGTCGATCTGATTGATTCCCCGAGCGGACGAATTAGAAAAACCCCTGGAAATAAATATCCCAAGCAAACTTAAATTACAGACAAAATCATGTGTTGAACAAACCAAAAGAGGGATAACGCGAAAGTAAGGCGCAATACCTCCAGCGATTAGATGGAGTCAGAGACAGACAGAGCGGTAGAAGGTCGGAGAAGCAGGCCGCCGCGGACGACGGGGGAGCTGACCGGGGATTCAGAAAGGAAGATGGGGGGCTTTGAAGGAGAAGCGACGGTTTTTTTTTTTTTTTTGTTGAGGAGGACCGGATTCCGTTTCTATTTTATAAACAACAATGGAAGGCTCGAGAAGCCGCGGGAGGTTCTGTTTCATTACGTGTCAGATGGGAATTAGGTGTAACCAAAGCCAGCGGACAATGCTTAGCTGGATGCTATAACGGAACTAATAAAAGTTTAGTTTTGCCGTGCTTTAACTTTTGCATAACCAGTTTCTTGCTAGTGATTTTAGATAAGTATTTTTCAAAATAGAAAAACAGTTGAGTATTTGGCGGTAAAACTTATAGAAGTATTTTTTAATATGAGAGTTTGTGTAAAATGACTATAAATAACTTATAATATAAAATAAAAATAAAAATTTTGAACAATAAAAAGTAGTCAAAATTGATCTTGTTAGATTTCTTTTATATTACATAATATAATTTTATAATTTATTTTATTTTTAAAATGATATAAATGAAGGAAAATTATATTTTCTGAAATAAAATTAAAATATGGTAAGGATAATCTTGTATTTTCAAAACAGCTTTTCGTAGAAGCTCCAAATCGAAGCTTATGCTTTTATGTTATACAAAAGCGCTTTTCGGCTTTTCAAAAACCGAGCTTTTACAGGTGTTTGGCCCTGCTTCAGCTTTTAAAGCCTAAAAGCACTTCTAAAAGCCGGGCCAAACATAGGGATTGTATTTTCAAAACAATTTTTCGCAGAAGCTCAAAATCGGAGCTTCTGCTTTTATGTTATACAAAAGCGCTTTTTGGCTTTTCAAAAGCCGAGCTTTTAGAGGTGTTTGGCCCTGCTTCAACTTTTGAAGCCGAAAAACACTTCTAAAAGCCAGGCCAAACATAGGCAAAGACAATAACAAAAGAGTAGATTTTACCTGGACCGTTGGTCGGGAAATTTTCCAATGCTTTAAATTTTAGTTTTTGTCTTTATAATCAATTCGAAGTTGTACATTGAATGTTATGGTACAATTTCAGGTTGTACTTATACTCTTTTCTAAGGATGAATTCCCAAAATACACATGTTGTTAAAAAAAATTCTCAAAATACACACGTTATAATTTTTTTTCCAAAATACACATGTTTGGCCATCACCGCTGTTGTCAACCGCAGTGAATGCATTCACCGCGGCTGACCAAAGTGGTGAATGCATCACCGCGGTTGACGGGCGTGGTGAATGCCTAACTTAATTTTGCGCAAAAAGGGGGATTGTCGGCAGGAGCGGTAGGAAGAAACTGAGCAACGTGATGCAGAGGAGGTCGCTGGCTACTGCTGGCTATCGAAGGGTAGGGCTTCGTCGGAGAGGGATTCGGCAGAGTAGGAAAAGTCGATCTGGTGTATGGTTTTTGTCTGGTTAGAATAGAGAGAGAACATATAAGGTTTTACCCTTTTCTATTTTTCCCCTGATTTTATAAATAATCAAATAAATGAAAATAATATAAAATCCATGTGGCATGTTGGTCTCTTTTAGTCATAGTCACGTCAGAAAAAAACATACAGCTCACTTAATTTTTGACACCTCAAAGTCAACTAACGGTCAAACGGATGGAAAGTTAACGGATTGTTTATTAATTTGTTTTCGAAAAGGTTTGGCTATTATATTGTTTAAAACGAAAGGTTTGGCTATTAAATTGTATTTACCCATCTCTTTATGGTACAAACTAAAGTTGTACCTTTTATGTTATGATACAATTTTAAGTTGTACCGTAACATGAAAGTCAAATTCTCTAATAGTACAACTTCATGTTATGGTAAAACTTCAAGTTGTATTTTAAAGCACCAATACTTTAAAGTATAGTAGAAGTGCTCGTTGGTCGGATGAATTTTTTTTATTTTATGTCGATCAATTTCTTTATGCTTTTAAATAATATGATGTTTTCTAAAGTAGTTAATTCATTATTTCAAAGTAATCTTTATGGTATTTGTTGATTATGACATTAGCGATAATTAGTTAATATCTATTTTTTTATCAAATCTTCCTAGTATACTATTGTGTATTTTTTCATATCTTAGAAGAAATTTGTGGAATTTTTATTGTCGGATATGAATTTGGAGTTGGAAGGAAATATATGTTATCTAGAATTGGTAGGAATTGAAGGTATATTAAAAAATGAAGAGAATAATGAGAAGATTATGTCTAGAAATCTCAAATATGGTAGAAGACGAAAAATAATGCTTATCTACAAGTATATTAATAGCTGGTTATTGTAACTTTCGCCCCCATTCAAATTTTCCGCAACGAGAGTGAAAGTAGGAAGAGTATTTTTGTCTTCACAATGATCTATTTGTTTCTCATTTATTCCTAAAAAGAAAAGAAAGACATATTAAAATTCAAACAATGGTCATTTTCAACAATGACAAGCATCTTAATCAATCAGACTACATAGATTAGTTGTATCATTTCAAATAAAAAACATACAAAAGCTAAATTTAAAAAATCACAGAACTTTTCAACGGTTAGCTAAGGTCACTAAATCTTCCCTCGGTACTAATTGGTGTTTTGATACTTCGATTTTCATATTTAATTATTTTTATTATATTTTGATACTTAATTTAAATTTTCATCGATCTTATAAATAGAATATAGCTTAAAATCATAGACCAAATATCATTGGCTCAGTATAACATGTCGAATTGTAATATCGAATTTGTATGAGCGATGTTGAACTCTTACATTAGTATATTAGTTTATAGAACTACTATGAGGCAATCTGACTCGTTCTAACTATAACATCCCGATCAACGGCCAAGTATAACCGTCCACGGGGTGTAGCATAGGGCAAGCAAGCAATAAGAATTTATCGTACCATGGGGATCTAGGCTTACCCTACTTCAGGTTTATGGTTCGTTATCTAGCCAACCTAGGAAGGTGATTAGAAGAATTAAACTAACTAACCTAGCTAACCACTAACCTATCTGTTTACAAGGTTGGGAGCTCTCTTGGGTTGAATCGTCATAGGTCCGTTCATTGGATCGATGTTGGGTATCCTCCTAGATCGATCGACTCAACTACACTACCGTTTGGAGATGGACTCCCTTAGGAATGACCCGGAACAACGAATTGATGGATGGGTAGTGCTCTATTCAACCTAGGGTTTCGTATAATGCTAGGAGACCGGTCGAATCAACTCCCTCGAGGACTACTCGGACAATATACGATAGGAGTGACCCGAAGACGCCAAAAGGGGGCTCTAAGAGGATTATCTCCCTCCTAGGTCAAAAGTTCAATACATGAAAATGGAAACCCAACTCCTGTCATTCATGAAAACATTCATCAATTAAGTAAAATCATCAATCAATCATGGAGTTTGTCACATACATCAACATTAAACCCAAATCCAGACCTAGGGTTCTTAAACCCAAGAGAAGGGTGAGTTTCTAGAGAGAGGAGAGTTTACAAAGAAACCTCTATATCTTCATCATCTTCTTCTAGGCTTGATTCCTTGCTTCCCAGTTTGATCCATGCCTTCAATTAAGCTCCAAGATCACTCTATCACTCTCTAGAACTCCCCTTTGGTGTTTTGCGTTGAAACCCTAGAGAAAGAAAGTGTTCCTTCCCCAGAAACCAACTTCCCTCTCTTCTTCCTTATGTTGCTGTTTTTATACCAAGGTAGAGCCCTGTTCACAGCCTCTGTTCACGGCCGTGAACACCTTAACGCGTCCATGAACTCAACATCGTCTCCAAAACGCACCGCTTCACTCTCCAGCCTCCTTGTTTACAGTTTGAGGTTCCAGTTCAGTCTCAAGAGACTGTGAACTCCAATGCAGGACCGTGAACTGCGGCTGCTTCATGGACGCATGCGCTTCACTGTTACAGGGCAATTATCAGTGTCATTTTTTCACTTTTTGGCACTTTTCGACCTCCAATTGACCTGAAACTTGTCATCGACCTTCCCACACATGCTAGGACCTAAAATGTAACAAAACAAGCACAACCTAGCGTGAAATATGTCAAGGGACGGTGATCAACTAAGCATAACGGACAAGAAATGAGGGGTAAAATGTGTACATTCGGTTCGAATCACAATCATATTCATATCTTTCTACAAACTATATAGGGGACGTGTTCTTTGAACTTTTTAGCTTGGCTAACCGTTAAGTTTTAAACATCTTTCTAATCCGACATGCATGATTGGATCCAACAATTATTAGACGAGGTTGAGTTTAATAGGTTGGTTTATTTCATCTTTCTATGTATTAAAATGAATTTGTAGAGCAAGGAAAGAGGCAAAGATGACTTAGATTTTGGAATTATGATTGTTATTATAACCATGATTATCTTTTGATTTATACGATGAGTAATTATATAAACAAAAGACTGTATATGCTGATTTGATGTCTTTTTATTGACTTTGCGGATGGATTGCATCTTTAGGTTAGTTTATGAAGATTACTTGTAGATAGCGGCTTGTATTGATTTGGCTAATCTTTGCTCGGCCGAGCACTAAATTTCCCAAAATACCCTTAAGTAATCAAGATAACTCAAAATGGAAATAATACAGAAAATAATTTTTAAATCACCGTAGGAAATCCCTCTTAACAAATCATAAATGAGCATCAATCTCAAGCCTACTAATAAAAGTACAAAAATGAAAGAGTTCACTTGGAATCTCTTGCAAGCACTAACCCTTGTGACGATGACATCCTAAGCAACAGCTTCCTCTTGACCAGTGGTCTGAATGCTCCTGCTTTCTTGTATCTCCTGAGTGCGGGCGATGGGGTCAGTCCTAAACCTAATTTCGTTATCATACTTAAATGGAAAGCCATGCACATGCAATGCTTATGGTACGTCATTGGGTACATTTGTAGTAGTGTATTATTATTAACGTATTCTTGCGTATCATATTTTCTACTTTCTTAACTTGAAATGGGATCCTGCCCTCTACTTAACTAGCACATCCGTCCGGCACCAACGTATCATGAACATAACCTCCTCATCTACAAGGAGTAACATAACATACCTCCCCATCTACAGGGAGTAGTGGTGACCGCGTCCGGCACCGATCGTGACATACATATCATGACCCCTCATCTATAAGGTGCTCCTCATCTACAAGGAGTAAGGTGACCGTGTGCGACTAGTTAAGAGAGGGTTCTTATTCTTACTTGTTAACTTGATATCTTATACGTGCTTGCTTGAACAACCTCACCCACGATGGAGAGTCATACTTAATCTTATACTTGCTTACTTAGCTTGAGAATTCTGAGTTTACTTAAGGTAATCTCCCACACAATGGGAAGATATAAGGTTCTTAACTTGCAATTGAGTAGTTTAGAATTGAACTGGTATTTACCTGTCTCATAACATGTTTTACTAATGCTTCATGATATTATGCATACTTAAACATAAAGACTGAAAGTAACCAAATTAACTTAACATGAAAGCGTGTAATGAATGACTGAACATAAAACAAGAACTGAAATGCATAAATGAACTTTAAATGCATAGACTGATAACGAAAACTACTCTAGTCCGCTTTAACCACGCACCTTAATTTCAAGTCGATTATTAACTTATGTCCTGCCTTGACGATCCCAAACGTACTTATAAGCCATGTACGTGTCCCTACACCGTTTCCTTCTTCCTTCACCTTTTCCCTAGGGATAGAACGCGTACAGCTCATTTGATTATACACCCGTATAATTTCTTTACGTTAATAATCCATATTTCATTTCCTCACTTCAACCCCCTTTATAATAATCAAACTACTATGCATTCCATCCAGGCACGTAACTAATTAAACGTAGTTACTAGATTGAAGAGGGATTTTGCTTTTAACATGTAACCGAGCCTCTTTGGGTTAATAATCCAACACCATACAGTACTTTCCTTGCATTCGTCCATATAGATATAAGGATTAATATATAACTCATTCCTGTACTTAATGACCTACTGCAAGCTCCCACAATCTCCACCATAACTAATTCTATAAATTTAATGAACGAGGATAAAACCCTTACCTCTAACACTAGCCCAAAGCACGATTTGAGGCTTCGTCAACTCCTCGTCCTCAATCGTCGTTCGCCGTAATCCCGCCGCCAAAACTATGAACGAGAGAGGACAATCAAGAGCAACAGTGCCCAGCGAACAGAGGACACGGTGTACGGAGGAAACGGTGTGCGTTCGACGTCGGATTTGCTCCCGACTTGTGTCTCTGTCGTCTGACGTTTCCGTTGCGGAGCTCGCTAGTCACTGGTCGAGAGAAAAGAGTTGTACAGATAGAGGAAGTACCGGCGATGGTATCTAGTCGTGCCAAGGCTCACGGGATGGTGGCTGGGTTTTGTGCGGGCTATATATATATAGTTGGTGGGTTACAGAAGCTTGTGGCCGGTTGCTTCTCTTGAATTTAGCCTAGGGCCATCAATTATATTCGTTTAGGTTTAGTAACCGATAGGGGCAATTTAGGAATTTCAATAAAAATTAGGTACCGGGTGTGACATTTCCCTCCACCTTAATAAAATTTCGTCCTCGAAATTAAGATCATGCTAACATAAAAGTTTGAGCATCCACTGTTATTACTACCGACATCATAATGCTACTTACCGATCATACTAGACTAAAAAGCGGTTCAACTAGTCAAGGACGAACAGTTCCATCTTTTAGTCTTTCAATCACCAATATAGTCACATCAATGTGTTGGTTCATCCCTTCCATCTTCTCCATAACCACCAGCAAGCTTTTCCATGGCAAAGACTCTAGGTCATCCACCAGCTTTGGACATCTGGCTCTGATCACGCCTGGCATTGTGGGTGTTGATGCCATTGAAACGTCCACCATTGTTGTTGCTGTTGTTGTCGAAGTGGTTAGTACGGCCACTGAACCTACTTCCCGTCTGTGCCCTACCCCCATTAACTGATGGCTCAGAAATAACCCTTGTATGATCTGCAAGTCGTGGGCAATTCCACTTTATATGTCCCGGTTCACCGCACTCAAAACAGACACCCATATTACGCCTGCACTGACCCAGATGACGTTTGTCACATTTCGGGCATAGTGGATATAGTTGTTGTGTCGGTGCAAATCTAGTGGAGATCTCCTGGCTTCAGGACTGATGTTGGCTAGATGAACCAGGTCCCCACTTGGAAGGTTGGGGCGAGTAAGTCGTGGCCACAGAGTTGGTTGACTCATTCCTCTTCTTCGTACCAAGCCTCGCATCTCTCTCCTGTTCGGCCATCTTCTCATCCCTCTCAATGCGAAGGGCAGCTCGGTATGCAGTGGCTTGAGATGCCCTCTCTGCTTCTCCCATACATTTTCTTAGTTCTGCCCTCAAACCCCGAACAGAACGATCTCGCATCCCGGCTGCAGTCCGATACACGGGATCAGCATACTTGCACAACTTCTTGAATAGCTCTGTGTATTCCTTGACACTCTGCCTCCACTGCTGCTCCAACTTCATGAAATCCTCCCTCTTATCGTCCCGGACTGTTTGGGGGATGTACTCATCGAGGAACATCTTCACAAACTGGTTCCAGGTGATCTCAAGAGGTACCACTTCACTCTCCGGCTGGAGATGCCACCAATCCCTAGCAGTTCCGTGGAGCACGTGGACAGCCATGGCGATCCTATCCTCATCATTATCAATACAGAGCTCATCCAAAGTTCGAGTGAGCTTCAACAGCCATGCATCGACAATGTCGGGGTCAGAGGATCCCTCGAAGTCAACCACCCCCATTTTCCTAAGCAAGGTATAGTTTGGGGGCGGCCGCCGACCATCACCCTGACGAGAGCTCTCGCTATTCATACTCCTACATAAGTTCAATGACATTGTGTCAGAACCTTGGAAACATTGCACTTGTTAGTAGACGAGACTGGATGCTCTAAAACAATTTTAGGTTTACTTGAAAACCTGTTGAAAACTTCTTAAAACTTTTTAATACTCGTAGGAAACATGGAGACCGACTTCCCAGTATCTCACTTACAAAGTGAAGACAGATCTGGCTATGATACCAAAATGTAACACCCTTGCTCAGCCGAGCACTAAATTTACCAAAATACCCTTAAGTAATCAAGATAACTCAAAATGGAAATAATACATAAAATAATTTTTAAATCACCGTAGGAAATCCCTCTTAACAAATCATAAATGAGCATCAATCTCAAGCCTACTAATAAAAGTACAAAAATGAAAGAGTTCACTTGGAATCTCTTGCAAGCACTAACCCTTGTGACGATGACATCCTGAGCAACAGCTTCCTCTTGACCAGTGGTCTGAATGCTCCTGCTTTCTTGTACCTCCTGAGTGCGGGCGATGGGGTCAGTCCTAAACCTAATTTCATTATCATACTTAAATGGAAAGCCATGCACATGCAATGCTTATGGTACGTCATTGGGTACATTAGTAGCAGTGTATTATTATTAACGTATTCTTGCGTATCATATTTTCTACTTTCTTAACTTGAAATGGGATCTTGCCCTCTACTTAACTAGCACATCCGTCCGGCACCAACGTATCATGAACATAACCTCCTCATCTACAAGGAGTAACATAACATACCTCCCCATCTACAGGGAGTAGTGGTGACCGCGTCCGGCACCGATCGTGACATATATATCATGACCCCTCATCTATAAGGTGCTCCTCATCTACAAGGAGTAAGGTGACCGTGTGCGACTAGTTAAGAGAGTGTTCTTATTCTTAATTGTTAACTTCATATCTTATACGTGCTTGCTTGAACAATCTCTCCCACGATGGAGAGTCATACTTAATCTTATACTTGCTTACTTAGCTTGAGAATTCTGAGTTTACTTAAGGTAATCTCCCACACAATGGGAAGATATAAGGTTCTTAACTTGCACTTGAGTAGTTTAGAATTGAACTAGTATGTACCTGTCTCACAACATGGTTTACTTATGCTTCATGATATTATGCATACTTAAACATAAAGACTGAAAGTAACCAAATTAACTTAACATGAAAGCATGTAATGAATGACTGAACATAAAACAAGAACTGAAATGCATAAATGAACTTTAAATGCATAGACTGATAACGAAAACTACTCTAGTCCCCTTTAACCACGCACCTTAATTTCAAGTCGATTATTAACTTATGTCCTGCCTTGACGATCCCAAACGTACTTATAAGCCTTGTACGTGTCCCTACACCGTTTCCTTCTTCCTTCACCTTTCCCCTAGGGATAGAACGCGTACAGCTCATTTGATTATACACCCGTATAATTGCTTTACGTTAATAATCCATATTTCATTTCCTCACTTCAACCCCCCTTATAATAATCAAACTACTATGCATTCCATCCATGCACGTAACTAGTTCAACGTAGTTACTAGATTGAAGAGGGATTTTGATTTTAACATGTAACCGAGCCTCTTTGGGTTAATAATCCAACACCATACAGTACTTTCCTTGCATTCGTCCATATAGATATAAGGATTAATATATAAATCATTCCTATACTTAATGACCTACTGCAAGCTCCCACAATCTCCAGCATAACTAATTCTATAAATTTAATGAACGAGGATAAAACCCTTACCTCTAACACTAGCCCAAAGCACGATTTGAGGCTTCCGGACGTCAACTCCTCGTCGTCAATCGTCGTTCGCCGTAATCCCGCCGCCAAAACTATGAACGAGAGAGGACAATCAAGAGCAACAGTGCCCAGCGAACAGAGGACACGGTGTACGGAGGAAACGGTGCGCGTTCGACGTCGGATTTGCTCCCGACTTGTGTCTCTGTCGTCTGACGTTTCCGTTGCGGAGCTCGCTAGTCACTGGTCGAGAGAAAAGAGTTGTACAGATAGAGGAGGTACCGGCGATGGTATCTAGTCGTGCCAAGGCTCACGGGATGGTGGCTGGGTTTTGTGCGGACTATATATATATAGTTGGTGGGTTACAGAAGCTTGTGGCCGGTTGCTTCCCTTGAATTTAGCCTAGGGCCATCAATTATATTCGTTTAGGTTTAGTAACCGATAGGGGCAATTTAGAAATTTCAATAAAAATTAGGTACCGGGTGTGACATTTCCCTCCACCTTAATAAAATTTCGTCCTCGAAATTAAGATCATGCTAACATAAAAGTTTGAGCATCCACTCTTATTACTACTGATATCATAATGCTACTAACCAATCATACTAGACTAAAAAGCAGTTCAACTAGTCAAGGACGAACAGTTCCATCTTTTAGTCTTTCAATCACCAATATAGGCACTTCAATGTGTTGGTTCATCCCTTCCATCTTCTCCACAACCACCGGCAAGCTTTTCCATGGCAAAGACTCTAGGTCGTCCACCAGCTTTGGACATCTGGCTCTCATCACGCCTGGCATTGTGGGTGTTGATGCCATTGAAACGTCCACCATTGTTGTTGCTGTTGTTGTCGAAGTGGTTAGTACGGCCACTGAACCTACTTCCCGTCTGTGCCCTACCCCCATTAACTGATGGCTCAGAAATAACCCTTGTATGATCTGCAAGTCGTGGGCAATTCCACTTTATATGTCCCGGTTCACCGCACTCAAAACAGACACCCATATTACGCCTGCACTGACCCAGATGACGTTTGTCACATTTCGGGCATAGTGGATATAGTTGTTGTGTCGGTGCATATCTCGTGGAGATCTCCTGGCTCCAGGACTGATGTTGGCTAGATGAACCAGGTCCCCACTTGGAAGGTTGGGGCGAGTAAGTCGTGGCCCCAGAGTTGGTTGGCTCCTTCCTCTTCTTCGTACCAAGCCTCGCATCTCTCTCCTGTTCGGCCATCTTCTCATCCCTCTCAATGCGAAGGGAAGCTCGGTATGTAGTGGCTTGAGATGCCCTCTCTGCTTCTCCCATACATTTTCTTAGTTCTGCCCTCAAACCCCGAACATAACGATCTCGCATCCCGGCTGCAGTCCGGTACACGGGATCAGCATACTTGCACAACTTCTTGAATAGCTCTGTGTATTCCGTGACACTCTGCCCCCACTGCTGCTCCAACTTCATGAAATCCTCCCTCTTATCGTCCCGGACTGTTTGGGGGATGTACTCATCGAGGAACATCTTCACAAACTAGTTCCAGGTGATCTCAAGAGGTACCACTTCACTCTCCGGCTGGAGATGCCACCAATCCCTAGCAGTTCCGTGGAGCACGTGGACAGCCATGGCGATCCTATCCTCATCATTATCAATACGGAGCTCATACAAAGTCCGAGTGAGCTTCAACAGCCATGCATCGACAATGTCGGGGTCAGAGGATCCTTCGAAGTCAACCACCCACATTTTCCTAAGCAGGGTATAGTTTGGGGGCGGCCGCCGACCATCACCCTAACGAGAGCTCTCACTATTCATACACCTACATAAGTTCAATGACATTGTGTCAGAACCTTGGAAACATTGCACTTGTTAGTAGACGAGACTGGATGCTCTAAAACAATTTTAGGTTTTCTTGAAAACTTATTGAAAACTTCTTAAAACTTTTTAATACTCGTAGGAAACATGGAGACCGACTTCCCAGTATCTCACTTACAAAGTGAAGACAGAGGGAGACCGGCTCTGATACCAAAATGTAACACCCTTGCTCGGCCGAGCACTAAATTTACCAAAATACCCTTAAGTAATCAAGATAACTCAAAATGGAAATAATACAGAAAATAATTTTTAAATCACCGTAGGAAATCCCTCTTAACAAATCATAAATGAGCATCAATCTCAAGCCTACTAATAAAAGTACAAAAATGAAGAGTTCACTTGGAATCTCTTGCAATCACTAACCCTTGTGACGATGACATCCTGAGCAACAACTTCCTCTTGACCAGTGGTCTGAATGCTCCTGCTTTCTTGTACCTCCTGAGTGCGGGCGATGGGGTCAGTCCTAAACCTAATTTCGTTATCATACTTAAATGGAAAGCCATGCACATGCAATGCTTATGGTACGTCATTGGGTACATTAGTAGCAGTGTATTATTATTAACGTATTCTTGCGTATCATATTTTCTACTTTCTTAACTTGAAATGGGATCCTGCCCTCTACTTAACTAGCACATCCGTCCGGCACCAACGTATCATGAACATAACCTCCTCATCTACAAGGAGTAACATAACATACCTCCCCATCTACAGGGAGTAGTGGTGACCGCGTCCGGCACCGATCGTGACATACATATCATGATCCCTCATCTATAAGGTGCTCCTCATCTACAAGGAGTAAGGTGACCGTGTGCGACTAGTTAAGAGAGGGTTCTTATTCTTACTTGTTAACTTGATATCTTATACGTGCTTGCTTGAACAACCTCTGATAACACCTAAATTATACATATATTCGCCTACACTTTTACATCCTAAAATAACATAAATTGTACCAAGTTCATTCGATTTCCCGATTTTATGCTTGGTTTTGTGTTGGAGTCATGTTTCAGGGTATTCTATCCAATAAGAACGGAATAATGAGTCAATTCAACAAAAAGATGGTTAGGGTTTGAAATCTGGCGTCGGTGGAACTCGAGCCCGCGACGTCCCAGGCGAGGGCAAAGAGCCGTACCACTCCGGCCGCGTTCCCTTTTGTTATCAATATACGAAACCCATCGCGTATTATGGTGATGAATCAATGAAAGATAGCTGAAGCTAATAACTCACGTCAAATGGAAGAAGCAGGCTGGTCCAAATAATAGAAGCAGGCTGGTCAATTACTTGGGAAGCAGGCTGGTCCATACGTAGGAGCAAGTAGGTCCATTATTCGGAAAGCAAGCAGCTGCATCGACGTCCTAAGCAAGCAGCTCCTCCTCCCTTGCCTTCGGTGCTGAAGCTAGTAGCTGAAGCTAGTCTGGGAGCAAGCTACCAGGTCAATTTAATGGAAGCAAGTTGGAGAATTAAATGGACAAGCAAGCTCGTCCAAATAATGAAGCAAGCACGTCCATTATAGCTCGTCCATAACTGAAAGCAAGCTCGTCAATTATTTGAAAGCAAGTAGCTGTCTCGTCCGAATGAAAGCAAGCAGCTGGCCATTATCAAAGCGGTCGAGAGACAAGCAAGCAGCTGGCCATTATCAAAGCGGTCGAGAGACAAGCAAGCAGCTGGTCCATTTATTACAAGCAAGTAGCTCAATTTGTACTATAAATAGAGGGAGAGGACACTAGACAATAACACACACTACTGCTATATTTTGTTCTCCCTTTCTTGTATTTGAAGTTAGCCGAAACTCTGTCGATTTTCATTCCAAACTCTTGTTACTTCTTTTCATTTCGTTAATCATATCTCGTATTTCATCCATCGTGGTTCTTATGTTTGTGTTCGTATTTGGGAATACCGTGGTATATTGCGTTATTGAGATTACCGAAGTGAGCTTCTATTCTGTGGGGTTATGATAATCATTTGTGGTGGTAGATTGGTCGGTTTCCACCGTCTTCGCCCAACGATTATTCCCCCGTCGGAAGTTTGCTAGGTGTAATCTATTAACTCAATATACATACCGTATTCTCAACCCCTCCGTCTTTGTCGTCGTCATCATCATGGTAATGTTCTCAACCTTCATCTTTCTAAATCTCATCATGTCCGGCTAATCTTCTAGTTGTTCCGGATTTGATGAACCCTAATATGTTTTACATTGATTGAGTAGTATCTTTGATATAGACGTGTTGTTCTCTTTCTTACGATCTTTTCTCGACTTATCATGTGCAAGTATCAATAGTACGCGTCTATTGTATATTTTGTCTGATACGTAGTTCCTCCGGATTAGGTTAAAAACCTTGTACGAAAATTCATAAATCTGGTTATTGCTTTGGTTTAAGATTTTTGTAAGCCACGGTTTCACTTGATTCTTAAGTCGAAAGGGTGTTAATACATGTGCGAACGGGTTAACACTAAATTGGGAATTTTCATGGTCTAAGATATTAACACTCATCTATGTTAAATCCAACTTGTCTGTAAAATGCATATTAGGGGGATTCACTTCCGTGACAACGCCTTATCCACTTGATTTTACTTTGAAAACTACTTTATTGTATTTTTATTATTGCGTGTGTTTTTATTTCTAAACGAAAATCAACTAAAAACGATTGACTAGATAATAGGTAAAAGCTGAGTACTAGTACACGAAGTCTCTGTGGATACGACCTTGCTTCCTGCTATACTACCGTAGAACGATAGGTACCCTTGCCTATTTTTCCTGTGTTAGTTACGGGCGACCAAGTTTTTGGCGCCGTTGCCGGGGACTAAGTTATTAGAAAAAGCTTTGAACTATTAATTTAGTCGCTTTATTTTTCTTGTTATATCACACTTGTTGCTTTCACGGGTTGTTCTTGTTTTTGTGCTTGAAATAGTGCATGACCCGAAACCACCCACTTGGACTGGTCGACCTTGATCCCGAGATCGAGAGAACTCTTCGTCAACGAAGGAGAGAGCAACAAGTGCAGCCACACCCAATGGCGGAAGAACACGCCGAAGTGAACAATCGGACAATGTCTGATTATGCCCGTCCTACCTTGGACGGAACTCACTCAAGCATCCGAAGGCCCAATATCAAAGCCAACAACTTTGAAATCAAAACTGGGATGCTACAAATGATCCAAAATCGGGTGCAATTCAATGGGATGCCCGAAGAAGATCCCAACACTCATATCAAGAAGTTTCTGGAGCTCTGTGACACCATCAAAATCAATGGTGCATCCGTCGATGCTATTCGTCTTCGACTGTTCCCGTTCTCTCTGGACAACAGAGCACGGGAGTGGCTTGACGGTCAACCACGGAATTCCATCACGACGTGGGACGGGTTGGCTGAAAAATTCTTAGCCAAATATTTCCCACCAAGCAAGACGGCGAAGCTGAGGAACGACATCGCCGCCTACCGCCAAGAAGACTCTGAAACTCTCTACGAAACTTGGGAGAGATTCAAGAACACCCTCAGAAGATGCCCTCATCACAGCATTCCTCATTGGCTGAAAATGCAAACCTTCTACAATGGGCTAAATCCAGAGACGAAACAATCAATTGATGCAGCAGGGGGTGGCACCACCAACAACAAAACACCTCCCCAAGTAGAGCAGCTAATCGAAGACATGGCAATGAATAGCTATGAATGGTATTCCCCGCGAAACAAGTGCCGACCACAGCCAACCAGAAGTGCCGGGCTACACCAAGTCGACCCAGTTTCAAGTCGATTATTAACTTATGTCCTGCCTTGACGATCCCAAACGTACTTATAAGCCTTGTACGTGTCCCTACACCGTTTCCTTCTTCCTTCACCTTTCCCCTAGGGATAGAACGCGTACAGCTCATTTGATTATACACCCGTATAATTGCTTTACGTTAATAATCCATATTCATTTCCTCACTTCAACCCCCTTTATAATAATCAAACTACTATGCATTCCATCCATGCACGTAACTAATTAAACGTAGTTACTAGATTGAAGAGGGATTTTGCTTTTAACATGTAACCGAGCCTCTTTGGGTTAATAATCCAACACCATACAGTACTTTCCTTGCATTCGTCCATATAGATATAAGGATTAATATATAACTCATTCCTATACTTAATGACCTACTGCAAGCTCCCACAATCTCCACCATAACTAATTCTATAAATTTAATGAACGAGGATAAAACCCTTACCTCTAACACTAGCCCAAAGCACGATTTGAGGCTTCCGAACGTCAACTCCTCGTCGTCAATCGTCGTTCGCCGTAATCCCGCCGCCAAAACTATGAACGAGAGAGGACAATCAAGAGCAACAGTGCCCTGCGAACAGAGGACACGGTGTACGGAGGAAATGGTGCGCGTTCGACGTCGGATTTGCTCCCGACTTGTGTCTCTATCGTCTGACGTTTCCGTTGTGGAGCTCGCTAGTCAATGGTCGAGAGAAAAGAGTTGTACAGATAGAGGAGGTACCGGCGATGGTATCTAGTCGTGCCAAGGCTCACGGGATGGTGGCTGGGTTTTGTGCGGACTATATATATATAGTTGGTGGGTTACAGAAGCTTGTGGCCGGTTGCTTCCCTTGAATTTAGCCTAGGGCCATCAATTCTATTCGTTTAGGTTTAGTAACTGATAGGGGCAATTTAGGAATTTCAATAAAAATTAGGTACCGGGTGTGACATTAGGATTGAGAATGAGAAGCCTTTTATATATATATATATATATATATATATATATATATATATATATATATGTATGTATGTAGCATATGCTTATTTTTCTCAGTATTTTGTAACATCATTAATTCAATTCCTATTAATATATCATTATAATTTTCACAGCTATAGCTATTATGCAAATCTTGTCTTTAATAGCTTCGTTTTAATTTTAATATGTATGGTAGAAAATGACAATTTATGGCAACTTTCTACTACAGTTGCATTGTATTTCTGCAACCATATGATGGGTCGCTATAGACATATATTGGTAACCTTTTCACGTTTCTGCAACCATGTGATGGGTTGCTAGAGACATTTATCAGCTACCATTTTATAAGTGTCGCTCATGTTAGTTTTCCAGCAGCCATAAAGCATAGTCGTCCAAAACACTCATTGCCTACCTTTGTATGATGGTTGGTATAATTCAATTTTCAGCGACCATGAAAAATGGTCGCCCAAAACATTTCTCCGACGACCATTTACAGTTATAGTCGCTATGAGGTTTCAGCGACTCGCCTTTGCCGACCATGCCAGCCACGCTGATATATGGTCGCTCCAATCTTGTTGCGACCATTTTTCAACTTTGGGAAACCTTTTTTGATGGTTGTAGATAGTGTTTTTTCTTGTAGTGAATATATATTACTGGAATGATAAAATTGTCATCCCATTTCAAATTTCCTACAACGAGAGCGAAAGTATGAATGACATTTTGTCTTTGCCATTTTTTATCTTTATTTTGTATAGAAAATAGACAAGTATTGGGATTTGAACTAATTTATCTTCAAACTCAGACAAGAGTCATAACCATGATAGTCAATTCGAGTTTGGCTCTGCTAGTCAAACCAATTCTACCTAAACTTGAGTATCTCCTAGTTGGTTGTCTACTTGGGCTCGGTCAAACCCATGAAAACACAATCAAATCAGGAAATCCAACCGATTTAACCAATTGATTTGAGCACTGGGCCACTTCAAAACGATGTTGTTTTCAACCATTTGTATACGTAGTTATGCTGTCATATCATCCTTTTACTTATCACAAATCCTACAATATGGAACATCACAGACCATGTTCGACTATCCCATCGTCTCTTATTCTTAGAGGTGTTCAAATGGTTACCGTGGTAATAACCAAACCAATTAAGCTTAAATTTCATTAACCATGGAATAAAATATCTTAACCAAACAGTCCAAATTAACACGAAAACCAAATTAACCAAACCAAAGTTTAATTATTTTGGTTAATCGAATAATCGAATAAACCAAATAACATCACATTACATGAAAACAATTATCATGTTAATGAATAAAACATAACCATATGTTGTTACTATCATAAACTATCATTATATATAAGCAATAATAATAAGACTAACCATCCATGATTATCATCATCATTTGAGTTAATACATCATTCATCATCTCTGCACCTAACATAGTTAGCTTACAACAAACCCCTTAACATAAATACATACCAATACCACTCATCAGGAAGTTAGAGCTCTCCAATAAAACACTTAAACTATACATAGTTTGATGTGGCTGTCATGGTATTGTACGTAATCCAAAGTCTAGTAGCTGTCCAAAATGGTTTAGTTTAGTAAATAGGTAGGCCCATTTATGTTTTGGTTTGTTGTGAACATGGAAATAAAATAGCGAATCACAAAAGTTTGGTTTGGTTGGTTGCATGGAAGTATAAATAATTATGTATATTAGGTGTATCATTAATTGGTTAATTGGTTCATTGGTTAACAGTGTTGAAACCAAACCAAACCACCTAAACCAAATAAGCTAAATTGTTTAACCAAACCAAACCAATTATCCAAATCAACCAAACCAAATTAGCCGAATGCTACCGGTTAATATAGTTACCAGGATAACCAATCCGTTTGAACACCCCTACTTCTTCTTGCTTTATTATTCGAGAGCCTATAAAGACCCAACCATCTCAAAAGCCATCATAATCTCACAATAGTAAATTTCATTTTTCTCCAGCTGCACAATCATAGAGCCAGTCGACCTCATCTCATACAAATAAGACGCAAAAATTATTAGAGAACATGCATTTGAGTTGAAAGTTGGGCTAATACCACTACAACACCCGAACTATCCGAAAAATGTCATTTGTGTCCTATTGTTTCCAATATTCCATTCATGTCCTGAACTATTTTTCTGTTAAAATTGACTCGTTTTGACCGTTAGTTTTTCACAGAAAGTCGAGTCAACATTGATGTGGCACATGACGTGGAATTTTAATTTATTTATAAAAAAAATTAAAATAAAAACAATGAAAATAAAAATAAAAACGTTTCATCTCCACCATTCACCCTCTCAATCCTTTCTCCCCGGTTCACCCTTCCTGTTTACCATCAAGGATCCGTCGGATTGGCGAAGAACACATTGCAAATCGGTCTGGATTTGCGAGGAACCCATTGCTACATCAAAATCTGGAATCCACCGACCCAAAATCTCCTCCTTCTCATGCTCTTCCTCTGCCGACATCCGTAAGAATTCTACTTCAGATACGAAGAGAAGTCGGAGACGGAATCAAAGCGAAGAAGTTCGTAGGGAGAGGTTGCTTCTTCTATTCCGCGCCGCCACTTCCCAAACCTAATTCGCTAATGTCGATTCCCGGAAAACCTAATCCCACAGCAGTCGGAGCCGGATCTGCTTCCCCGTCCTTCTCTCTCCTCCTTCGTGCGCGCCGGATCACCTCGCTAGCGTCGTTTTAGATTTCTCGTTCTGGGTTCGTGGTTCTTGTTCTGCGTTCTAGTTCGTCGTTCTTGTTCAGTGTTCTGGGTTCGTCTTTCTAGTTCAGTGTTCTCTGGGTTCCTCATTTTTGTTCGTCGATGTGTTTTGGGTTAGTCGATCTATTTTGTTGATTTCTAGGTTTAATTTATTGTGGTCGAATAGTTAAAAACAGGTTTGATTGAGGTAAATCTATTCTGTTTGATCGATTTATGGGTTCATCGTTCTTGTTTCTCGAGACTCAATTTGGGGTGGCACTCGTTGCAATCGTACTCCGCCTCTTCTTTCCCGACCGCTTCCAGGATAATGCTTTGTTGTCTGTAAAAAAATAGAAGCTGCCATTTTTACCCAATTTGAGTTTAACTGAGAATTTGAACCTGGTTTTTGGCAGAATGGCTGGAGATGCCGGCTGCGTCGATTCTGCTCATAGTGGTGGCTCCTAATCTGATCGCTTCCACGGTGAGGAACAATTTCGTTGGTGTGGCGATATGCCTTGTGATTGCTGGGTACTTGCTGCAAGAACACATCAGGGCCTCTGGTGGGTTTAGGAACTCGTTCACCAAAGCCAAGGCGATCTCCAACTCCATTGGGATAGTGCTCCTCTTCGTTTATTTTTTATTCATTTTTTAGATTAAAAATAAGAAAATATTATATAAAAAATATGAAATCAGTTACGTGGCATTTATGTGGCAGCCACATTAACGAAATTGACAGGATATAATTGACACAAAGTATCATAGTTCAGGACATGAATGGAATATTGGAAACAATCGGACACAAGTGGCATTTCCCAGATAGTGCCGGTGTTGTTGTGGTATTAGCCCTTGAAAGTTTGTGTGACTAACAGATGCTAAATTCCTCATGTTAATTATTATTTAATACTTAATTAAATTTCTATATCTTATAAATAGAGGATAACTTTAAAATCACGGCCCAAATATCATTGGTTCGAATATTCCATATTGAATTGAAGTATTGAATGTGTAGAAGTGATCTATAATTCTTAAATTAGCATTAATTTTTAGATCTACTATGAAACAATTATATTCATACCTTTGTGTAAACTATATGAGACTGGTTCTTTGAACATTTTAGTTCAGCTAAGCGTCAAATTTTAAACCTCTTCCTATTCGGACATGATTGGATCCGACAATCATTAGAAGTTTAATAATTTGGTTCGTTTCACCTTTTTTTAATGTGCTAATGAAATTTTAGGAAAACAATATGTCTTTATATACACTCTCAGGGTCCGACCATGACATGTGGAGGCCCTATTCAAAAATTAAAAATGTGGCCCGAATTTTTCCACCTAAAAGTTATTAAAAAAATTATTAAATAATAAAAATACTTAAGTTCATAAAATGATTAAATAATAAGGTAAATACAATATATCAAACAAAGCTTTAGTTTTAAACAAAATAATAGTCAAACTTTTCGTAAAATAAAATAATAGCCAAACCGTTAACTTGTTGGTTGCGTCGAGCGCGAGACTTTATACCGGTCTTTTAAATAACTTAATCACACTACAACAAAAAGCTACTTTACCGACATTCACTTAATGACAGCCACTAGGACCGTCGTTATGTGAGGAGATTGGACGGACAAATTGGCCGTTGTTTGTGACCGTCGGGATTTGGATGAAAATTCTGTCCATTTAAAATATTATTAATTAATTGCAAGTAACGATAAAGTAAATGGCACATGAGACCATGAGAGACGTGTCTCTCTTTTCCATTTTTGATTTTTTTTCTTCTTTATGATTCCTCTTGATCAGAACACGTGACTCCTTCTTTCCTTTGTATTTTTCTTTTTTACATTTGTTCTTAGAGTTATGATTTCCTATAATAAAAAACATAAAATATAAAAATTATTCCTCCTGTCTCTCTTTTCCCAGCTTCATATCTGAAAAACAAAACGGACAAAAGAAATCTCGCACTTTCCCCTTCCTCTGCGTCGACGGTGGCCAGAGTCGTCGATCGCAGCGCGCCGTCCTTCCCCGTCGGTCCCCTCTCTCTCTATTCTCCGACGACCAAAGCGATCACCCCTAGTTCTTCTGCGAGCGCTTTCCCCTTCCTCTGCCTCGACGATGGCCAGAGCCATACATTTTTCGATCGCAACCGTCCTTCCCCGTCGATCTCCTCTCACTGTATTCTCCGACGACCAACGCGATCGCCCCTAGTTCTTCGCGTTAAGAGTTCTGTGTGGAAAGGGGCTTCTGGGTTTCTCTAACTCGTATTGGCATCTTCGTGGAATAGAGCTTTTGGGTTTCTGGTTCTAGAGAAGGAATTGGAATTGGAGCAGAGTTGGAGCGTGTGGGTTTTTGGAGTCTTTGAAATCTCTCATAGAAGGAATTGGAGTAGAGTTGAATTGTGCCTAGACTTCGTCAAATTTGCAAGCCTTCAAATTTACAGGTATTTTCTTCTTCTCTCTATTTAGCCTTCTGCATTTATGGTATAACTCACTCCCCAAGGTTCAATTCATTTACGAAAGTTGATCCGCCTTGTGTGTGATGTTTGTGAAATGAATCAGAATTTTATATCGTAGTTGTGAAATTGGTGCTAGATTTCTTTCTTTGTGAAATTTTTTTGATGTATGTTACAATCATCACAAAATGCTTGCCTCTTCTTTATGATGTGCTGTGACTTTTTACTCTGTACATGTTTACACAATTTGTTAGGTGTTGTGATTCTTAAAATGGACAAGTCATGGATTAGCATGCCTCGTAATACACCAGAATATGTACAAGGATTGAATAAATTTTTGGATTTCGCATTTGAGCGTAACTCTGGCATAGATCATATACTATGCCCTTGTAGAAAGTGTGGTTTTAAGAAGTTGAAGATAAGGGATGAGGTGTTTGCCGACTTGTTACGTAGTCCCTTTCCCATTGAATACACGGTTTGGTATCGTCATGGGGAATCACGTTTAGGAGAATCCTCCCAAAGCTTACCTATTCTAGGAGAGGAGGTGCATTGCAATGCGAATCCAATGATCAACTTGGTAACGGATGCATTTAGGGCTCATGGAGATTATACTTTTGAAGATACTTCCCCTCCGCATGAACCTTTGTTTGAAGATGATATGATGTCAGACTTGAATGAAGAGTCAAATGTTGAGGCTAAAAGGTTTTGCCAACTTTTGAAAGATGGGGAAGAAGTATTGTATCCAGGATGCAAAAAGTTCACAAAATTATCATTCTTGATAAGACTGTATAACATTAAGTCTTTGTGTAGAATCACTGACAAAGCTATGTCTATGCTTATTGACTTGTTGAGTGATGCTTTCGAGTTTGCAAACATTCCCAAATCAGAATACGAGGCAAAAAAAGTCATGAGGACTCTTGGACTTTCTTATACTGAGATACATGCTTGTCCTAAGGATTGTATGTTATATTGGGGAAGTGATGCTAATAGGAAGAGTTGTAAGGTTTGCGGGAGGTCTAGATACAAGTTGATGAAGAATGATCGAGTTGGTGATAAAAAGAGGAAAGAGCAAGCAGCCAAGATTTTTCGCTATTTCCCCTTAATACCTCGTTTGCAGAGGTTATTTGCTTGTTCCAAGACTGCTGAAAATATGGTTTGGCACTCAAAAGACAAAAAAAATGATGGAATAGCAAGGCATCCAAGAGATTCAGAGGCTTGGAAGAACTTTGATGTGAGATATCCCGATTTTGCTTCGGACCCTCGAAATGTGCGACTCGGTCTTGCTAGTGATGGATTCAACCCCAATGGGTCATTGGGTAACAATTACAGCATATGGCCCATTGTTCTAATCCCTTATAACAATCCTCCTTGGCTGTGTATGAAGCAAACTAACTTCATTCTTTCAGGTATCATCCCAGGGAAAAAGATGCCAGGAAATGATATAGATGTTTATATGCAACCAATGATTGAAGAGTTGAAGACCTTATGGGAGGAAGGAGTGGAGACTTATGATGCTTCAAAAAATGAAGTGTTCAAGTTGCGTGCAACTCTTATGTGGACAGTTAGTGATTTCCCCGCCCTTGGAAATCTAACTGGGTGGAACATATATACAGGTTTGGCTTGTCCAACCTGTAATTTTGATGCACGTCCTCTTCGTCTTCCATGTAGTAAAAAATGGTGCTTCATGGGCAGTCGTCGCTTTTTGGATAAAGGCCACAAATTTCGCCTTAATAGGGTTCAATTTGATGGACATGATCACAACACGAGTAAGTATGATTAGAGAACGTAATTCAGTTTTATACTAACCAATTTAAATCTCACTGAGTTTATGATATTATCAAAACAATTAAAGGTGCCTACAAATTCTCTTCTCCTCTGATCACTTTCTTCCAATTTACATAGACTAGTTTTACTAACCCTACACAAGCAGACACACGACAACTTTTAATCTAATGGGCTTTGAAGCCTTAAAGCCCACTCACAGCCTAACGCTTATAGCAATAATCCCAACCCAACTTGTAGAGACAAGTTATACGGTGAGTTTTGTTTATTCAAACTCACACTGACTCTCCTCCTCCGCAGTTTTTCCATCCAAACCAACTCTGTACCTTTATGCCCTGTTCACTTCCCATTTCATTTTCTGTTTTTTGGTTAAAAAATGAAAATCAGGAAACAAATGGACATAAAATGTGTTCACTTGACCATTCCATTTTCCTTGGAAAAACCCAATTATTACAATTGGGAAAACCATTAATAGTCGTTTTCTCAGAAAAATGGGACGGGTTATCCCCCCGTTTCCCAGCCGAAAATGACCTAATCACTCAAGCCGACCCGCGTTCGATTCACCAGGGACGCATTTTTTTCCCCCGATTTTTTGCCCTCTTAAGTGCTGCCGTTTTTGCCTTTTTTCCCCTCCTAAGCGCTGCCCTCCTAAACCCTAGAGGAGAACTGTCGTCTTCCTCTCCTCCCGCTCCATCCGCCACACCTCGCCGCCCTCCAGCCTCTCCTCCTCCTCCCTCCACGTTCGACTCGCCGCCCTCCAGCCTCTCCTCCCCCTCCATCCTCCACACCTCTCCTCCCTCCAGCCTCTCCTCCCCCTCCATCCGCCACACCTCGCCGCCCTCCATCCTCTCCTCCTCCTCCCTCCACGTTCGACCCGCCGCCCTCCAGCCTCACCTCCCCCTCCATCCGCCACACCTTTCCTCCCTCTAGCCTCTCCTCCCCCTCCATCCGACACACCTCGCCGCCCTCCACCCTCTCCTCCTCCTCCCTCCACGTTTGACTCGCCGCCCTCTAGCCTCTCCTCCCCCTCCATCCGCCACACCTCGCCGCCCTCCATTCTCTCCTCCTCCCTCCACGTTTGACCTGCCGCCCTCAAGCCTCTCCTCCTCCTCCCTCCACATTCCAGCTGATTCCCGCCGATTCCGCCGATTCCAGCCGCCGATTCCAGGTACTTACTCTCGCGACCAATCCATGCTTGCTTGTGATGATGAATTGGAGTGGTTTGGTAATGTTTTGTGAACATTGGACAGATTTGTTGCTTTATTGTTTTGATTGCAAATGATGTCTTCTTTTGTTTTGTTTGATGTCAATTTGTTGGTGATATCTTATTTCGTATTGAATTGTACCGTGATAAGCGATGGCTGATATTGATGTCGTAAACAATAATGATTGTGTCATACTTGAGGGAGCCGAGGTTTGTCCTGATAAAGTAGTCGAGTATTTTATTGCTTTGATGCTCGAGGAAGTAAAGAAGGGGAACAAACATACGACAACTTTCACTAAATTGGGATGGTCCAACATCGTAAATGGGTTGAAGATTAAGTTCAACAAGGACTATGCCCTAGATCAGTTGAAGAATAAATTTAATTTGATGAGGAGGAAACACCGGGAATTCAAGGACTTAATCAGCCAGACTGGAATTAGTTACTCTTCTGTAACAGGAAGGATTGCTGCCTCTGATGAGCAGTGGAAGGTGTGGAACGAGGTAATTGACATTTTTAGTCATTGTGATTGAATTGAAAGTAGTATTTAGGAAAGAGGAATTGATTAGAATGTTGCATTTGCAGCGATACAAGATGATAGGGACTATTAGGAAGCATGGATGTCTAGAGTATGAAAACCTGTGCATATTATTTGGTGATACAACTGCCTCTGGTGCGAATGCTGTTGCTTCTACTCACGAGGTCTCAGATAGTAGTGGCGGACCTAGCAAAGGGATTGATGTGGATCTTGATGGTGAAGAAAATTTGGGTGGAGTCTCTGGTTGTGCCAAGGAGACGTTGCCCAAAGTGAAGGGTAAAGGAAAGAAGAGAAAAGCAGCTAAATCTGGCTTTACCAATGCAGTGGAGAATGCCATAATCAGCATGGTTGAAGACTCCAAAAGGAAGAGTGAGAGGCGTGAAGCCAAGGAGGCCGCCTCTTCGGTTGGAGGACCTGTGCATGATGTATCTTCACAGGATAAAGAGCTTGACATTATGACTGAATGCATGAATTTATTAGATGAAATGGAGGTGGAGGCTAATGTATTTGTGAAGGCTTTCGATGTTCTACATGATTGTCCACTGAAGAGAGGACTTTTCTTGCGTATGACAGAGAGGAGAAGGAAAGAATGGTTGTTGAGTTTAGTGTGACTATGAGTGTTTGTTGAGAACTGCAGTGACATTTTTTTGTTGAGTGTTTGATGAGTTCTTACTGTGATGTTTTATGAATTTTAGCATATGATGTTTGATGACTTTTAATATTATGTTTTCTTATTGTAAGAATCTTATGAACTAAGTTGTAATTGAATGTTTGAGTGTTGTATTTGGGTTATTATCCATTTCTAATGAAGTTATTATGCATTGCAGAACTTATAAATTTAGATTCAGATTCATATTCAGATTCCGATGAAGAGTTGAAATTCATAATGCTTGTGGCTTTGTTGGAGAATGAGCGATCTAATTCTATTAGGATGCCATGTAGAACCTCAGTGCAAACAGGACATGCTTGGGTTCAAGAACTTCTCCGTGGGCATCCGATTAGGATATATGAATCACTCCGAATGGATAAAGAAATTTTCTTGGCTTTGTGTGAGGAATTGAAGCAACATGGTGGGTTGAAGGATACAACTAATGTGATGGTCGTAGAACAAGTTGCAATCTTCCTCAAGACTATAGGTCACGCAAATGACTTCCGCGACCTTGCAGAACGGTTTCAACATTCTACTGCAACCATCTCAAAGTACTTTAATCTAGTGTTGAAAGCAGTGATGAAACTTGCAAACAGGGTCATTGTTCCCCCAAATCTGGAAGTTGTCCCCGAAAGAATAATTGATTCAAAACATGATCCATATTTCAAGGTAAGCAATTCTCTTTATGATTGATGATTAATATTCGAATATAATTTAATTATGACACTGACTCACATGAATTCAGGATTGCATCGGAGCAATAGATGGAGTTCATATTGACGCAGTGGTTCCGAGTGGTGAGCAGATTCCATATCGAGGACGGAAGACGACTACTACTCATAATGTAATGGCTGTTTGTTCTTTCGATATGCTCGTTACCTTTGTGATGACTGGATGGGAGGGTACAGCAAATGATGCAAGAATTCTTACTGAAACAGTTTCCAACCCATCTAACAACTTTCCCATGCCACTGCGAGGTACAAAATGATTGTCTCTTTATTTTAGTAATTATAGTACACATTTCATATGACTAATTGATTTTATATCTTATAGGTAAGTATTATGTTGTTGATTCTGGATATGCAAACATTCCTGGGTTTCTAGCGCCATATAAGACAAAAGAAGCACGTCATTTTCAAGATATCGATCGTGGAGGTGGACCAAAGATTCGTATTCAACTTTTTAACTATTATCATTCATCTCTACGCAATGTTATCGAGCGTTGTTTTGGAGTTTTGAAGGCTAGATTCCCCATTTTGAAGCATATGCCTCCTTTCGCTCTCAAGAAACAAGGACACATTGTTCTTGCATGTTGTGTTATACATAACTTTATTAGGATCCACTCTGGTGACGACACTCTGTTTGAAGGTGCTCAAAATTATTGCACGGGGGAGAATGCCAATGGAGTGCAAGGAGGACAAGAACGAGAAGCATATAATCATAGTTCAAGCCAAACTCGAGCGATGGATGCACGACGAGATGTAATAGCAAACAAGTTGTGGGATGACTTTCAAGCTGGACTTATTTGAATTTTTAGCGTTGTACTAGTACTTAATTAATATAAGATGTTGTACTTGTATTGTGTTTATTTGTAGTTTAAAAACTATTAAATTCGAATTAAAAATTATAATCATGGCTAGGATTGTATGATAATCAAGAATCAGAAAACAGAATGAAGCAACTAAACAGGATTTCTTTTTAGAACTCAGTTTCAGAACTCACCAAAATTCTCAGCTAAACAAGGTTTTTTCAGGTTTTGTTTTCCAGGAAATGTTCAGCTTCGTTTTCATTTTAATTTTGTTTTCTGTTGTGGCAGCTAACAGAAATGGAATGGCAAGTAAACGGCCCATTAGTTTCACAAATAGAGTAATCAATATCAAGAACTGATATGAACACAATAGACTACCCAGAAAAAAAAAACCAGAACCGACTTAAATCAAACCCAGGAGGTGAGATCTTGTTCTTAACACTTCTTTGGTTTAGACTTCATTCTCTTCAGTTCTGATCGAAATCCCTACAATCACAGACTGAACAGATTCACACACAGAATTGAAACTGAAAAGTAGATGTAAGAGCACAACACGCGATTTTTACGTGGTTTCCAGTATTGGGAGAATAAGGATCCCAATACTGACTCCTCCACGGTCGGAGACTCACGATTGTGTGATCTACGACGATTCACTAATGATCTTGCGTTGAAGTTTGTCGCAACAATCTACCTACCCGAAAACCCTGTGATCAATCTCAACACGATCAATCACATACACTCTCACAGAACCCGAATTGCTTCCCCAACAACTCGTAACCAGTGTTTCCCCAACACTAACCCTCAAAGTTGTTCTCCCCGAACCCTTTGAGAAACCCCCTTTTCTATCAAACTCGCTACACTCACAAAATCCCCTCTTGTCTAGCTAGCGTTGTTGATCTCCGAAAGGTTACATAGTTCTTCAATTTGATCCCTATTTATAGTCTTGCCAACTAGCCGTTGCTTTTCAAATATCCTTGCTGATTCGAAATCTTCACAAAAGGCAAGCTTTTGTTCTTTCTCCCTTTGGCCTAAAAACCTTCCTTAACTGTTTTGGACAGCCTGTATATATTTGTATCTGTTATATCATAATGTTTGAATCTTGACTTGGCCTTCAAGCCGCATGATACCAATTTGCATTTTGCCGTTAGTCAAACTGGAGTTAACATTCTCCCCCTTAGCTTGTCAATGGCCAAGCTTCTCCCCCTAAACTTGTCCAAGGTTCATTTTAAGCTGCCTCAAGATTCTGCACACTTAAACAAACTGTTGGTGTAGCCTGTCCAAATAATAATGGCTATCACGAGTTCAAGAAGAAAACAAGGAGTCCATTTTATTCATAGAAAGAACCATCAAAGAGCACTCAACACTAGAACTCAGCAAGACACACCCTTAAAGCAACTAAACAAGACTCAATGACACCACAGAACTCGACTCAACAATCAGACCTGAATTATTAAACTACCACAATAGCATTCATGTATCTCCCCCTAAGCCTAGTAGTTGAAAGTCCTAGTATGTGTACTCCGGAGAAGACGCATACTCAGACGGATCAACATCCTCATCCTCTGACAGCACCTAGACTTGCTTGCCAGCGAGCTGCCCTCTTTGCCTTTTAGTGCCAAGGTATAGTCATGAAGAATGATTTTTCCTTCTTTTTCCAGCCTTATCCCTTCCTGAAGATGCTCCATATTTAGAAACTTCTTGCACTTTCCCGACGATTCTGCAACTCTTTTTCCCTTGTCAAGCCTAGTGATTTCATCAGCAGTTAACACTGCTGTTGTTTCCTTTAACCAGGTTCACTCTGCCAATTCATTGTCGTCTTCTTCTGGTTCTGTTTCAGACTTATAATATGCAACTTTGTCTCCCCCTTGAACTTTGGCAAATCAAGTCAAATAATACCCACGAGAGAATGGGACATCAAGACATGTTGAGCTTGGAGGTCAGAATGGACATCACGGTTAGTAAGCTTCTCACGCAGATCGACCCCTACAAGTGCCAGCAGCGTGGTGATTTGCGGACCAAAAGGTAGCTTCCCACCGCAGTCCTCTTCTCGATATTTAATCATGTGATAAACATAAGAGAGGCATAGCTGATTGGGCATCCTGTCCTTGCGTTGAACAAAATCCAAAGGTCAGATTCTTCAAGGATCGTTGCCGTTTCAGCATCTCGAGGAAGAAACATGTGCGTGATGTAGAACTGGAGAGCTTTCAGATCATCTGGCAGCCGTTCAACGAAAAACATGGAGGACTGATATTTCCCATAATCTCGAGCTAGGTAGGACATTGTTTCTATAGGATAGAACCCATAGCTATCAAACTCTTCTGTAGTCCCAGCAGTGTATCCATCATGAGGAAGATGCAACAGATTGGCTAGCATATCAACAGTGACTTTCACACTAAAATTGTAGACAATGGAGGTGAAGTACGACGGATTGCGACCAGGTCCACACTGCATACTCGCGTAGAACATTCTCACGGCTTTAGGGAATTGATCAAGAAGCTGATTCTTGAGCAGAGAGCTCCACCCAAGATCATTTGGATACCCATTAACCCTCAGTCTATATCGATTGAAGGTGGTAGGCGGTATGAGGAACGAAGGGTGTAGAGCACGATCACGAAAGCTACAAAGATACCTGGAGTATGATTCAGATTTTCGAAAGCCCTAATTGGTGAAAATTGCAGCAGGAGCAAGACTCACATTGAGCTGGGAATTTCTCGGCGCCATGGTGAAGGAATGAGCACAAAGAGGAATTTGAGCTGCTGCTGTTGATGAAGATGATGGGATGAGATTTCCATAGAACCTTTGGAAGCTTTTATAGTGGCTGTTCCGGAACGAATTCGGTAAGATTTTGAGATGGGGAAGTGCGAATCAGCTCAAGTAGAAGAATCAATTAAGAGAAGAGGATGTGATCCTACGGCATCCTCTGTCATGGGATTCGCTCTTCCTTTGGCGATGATTTGAAGAAAGGTATTTTTGGGAAGGAATTGATCGAACAAAAAATTAGGGATTTTATCAATGTGATAGCAGGTGAAGAAGGGAAAGCAAGTTCTTTCTTTCCAAGTCACGTGCGAAAGTTCTTTTCTTTCCAAGGGGCTTGCGAGATACAGAGAAGATGCCAGGAGTGGAGTTGGGCTTAGGCCCACAAAGCCTAAGAGGCTTGCGAGATACAGATTCGTTGCCAGGGGTGGAGTTGGGCTTAGGCCCACAGAGCCTAGTGAGAAGGTTAGAGTACCAGTGCTAATGAATAATCTCAGGGCCGAGGAAGGTATTAGGAGGAATTAGCCCACTCAAAACTAAGAAAGCATAAATCTGTTAATAGATTTTTAGGAAGATTAACCTGTGCTTTAACAACCCAGGTTAATTATAACCTAAATCGTTAAGCTCACTAGAAAGAATAAGCCCAAGTTCTCGACGAATGGTTAGAAATTGATCAACACTTAGAGGTTTAGTAAAAATATCAGCCCACTGATTCATCGTAGGCACAAACTCAAGCTGAATTTGGCCTTCTTCAACCAATTCTCGAATGAAATTATACTTAATTTCTATGTGTTTGGTTCGAGAATGTTGTAGGCATTTTTAGCCATATTAATGGCACTCGTATTGTCACACAATACAGGCATGGATTTTATTTCTAACCCGTAGTGATGACTCGATATTTGCACATGTTTTCCCCTTTGTTTCTTGATCGTTTAAGCCTGCATTATCGCTTCTTTGGCCTATTTTACGCTAGTTTGTTTTCCTTTGTCACATTTCAGGCCCTAGCACATAAAGTGAAGCGTAGGCGCAAGTTTCAAGTCAATCAGAGATCATTTGGCGATTCGGGAGAAGAAACACGAGCATGACCTGAAGAAGAATGGATTTCTACCTCACTTTATGGACAAATAATCATGAAAGTTTGTTATGAAAAGAAATAGGACAAGACTACGAGCGTCTGGGTTCAAACGGCGACTGATTTGGAGTCCAGACGAGGGAGAAACGAAGCTTTGAACAGGGGTGGAGGAAGAATTACGGGCAGGATAATTACGACCGTAATTTCCCCTCCCATGCCCGTAATTTCACTGCCGAGAGGAGCTTTGGGTGCGCTGAAACTTAACCAAAACGCGTGTTTTGGGCCAAATACGGGCATGAAAGAATTACGACCGTAATTCAGCCCGTAATTCGCCCAGAATCGGGTTTTTGAGGCAGATTAGAGCCAAAGGAAAGGGAGAGCTGGGTTTTGGATCCCAAACACCCAAGGGACGAACCCTAGAGAGAGAGAGCGACTTGGTAACATTCTTGGAGGATTTCTTCGCCATTGGAGCTCGGGAATCAAGCTTGGAGATGGAGATTGAAGATCTAGATCAGATTTCTGCAGTCTCTCTCTTCTCTATGGAGTAACTTCCCTTCACTTAGGTTTTGAGGAACCCTAGTTCCATGAGTTAGGATCTTTCTTGTATGAAGTTTTGGATGCTATATTGTTTGATTATAATCGAATGATGCATGTTTATTGAGTCAATTGAAGTCTGATCAACTTTTCCTGATTCCTGCTGCAATCTGAGATAGATAGAATCTGATTAGGTTGCTAGAGTCTCATCATTCGGTAGTAGGAGATTGGCTATACGAGAGTTAGCCAGTTTACTGCTTTGTACTGGAATCCAATTCCAGTAGTGGAGTTCTGTGCTTATTGCTTCAGCTTTCTATCCCGGTGAAGACTAGTCGTCTGCCGGATAGTTAGACTGAGAGGGCTTGGTCAGCTTAAGAGATTCCAAGCTACTGTCGGATCTTCCGCAGTTTAATCAACAGTAAAACAACCAAAAGGAATTACAACTTGGACCTAATTGAGGAGCTAGGGGGAATCATACCTAAGTGAGTTCCCAAACTGTAATTAGTAGTTTTAATTAGTTTAGTTAGTAGAGTAGTTTAGTTAATCAATCCTTAATCTAGTTTGCTAGATAATGAACTGAAGCTGAGTAATAGTAACTCTAGAGACCCGTGGATTCGATATTTATTACTTGTGCCACTATACTGCAGTCCCTTTCATTGGTTACACTTGGCCATTGTTAGGTGTTGTGTTTTAGAGCATCACGTAGTCACAAAGTTGATGCTTCATCCAAAGGAGTTGAGTACAACATAGGCCAGCTACCACGTATTCAGCCTCGATGGTGGATAGAGCAACAGAGCTTTGTTTTTTACTAAACCAAGACACAAGAGAATTTACATGAATTGACACGTCCCGGAAGTACTCTAACGGTCTACTATGCACTCAGCATAGTCTGAGTCACTATATCCAATTAAATCAAGACTTGACTCACAATCATACCATAGACCTAGATCCATTGTACCAGCTAAGTAATGAAAGATTCTCTTAACAGCAGTCAGATGACTTTCCTTAGGAGCACTTTGGAATCTAGCACCAAAACGCACACTAAATTGAATATCGGGTCTACTAGCAGTAAGATACATTAGTGACCCAATCATTCCTCTATAGAACTTCTCGTCAAATGACTTACACGATTCATCCTTGTCCAGTTTAATGGTAGAAGCCATAGGAGTAGTGGCAGTTTTTAGGTTCCCAAATTCAAAACGTTTTAACATATTTTGAATGTACTTGGTTTGACTAATGAAAATGCCTCGAGTTGTTTGTTTAATTTGCAGACCCAAAAAATATGTTAGCTCTCCCATTGCACTCATTTCAAAAGTTTTCTTCATGATATTTTCGAAATATTCGCACAACTCTTTACTAGAGGATCCAAATATAATATCATCAACATATATTTGGACTAGCAAAAGTTGTTGTCCTTAATTTTTTTATAAAGAGAGTTTTATCCACTGAGCCCCTTTTAAAACCTTCTCCTAACAGAAAAGAACTAAGTTTTTCATACCAAGCTCGTGGAGCTTGTTTTAACCCATACAATGCCTTTTTTAATTTATAGACATGATTTGGATAACGAAAATCTTCAAAACCGGGTGGTTGCTCAACATTCACTTCCTCTTTTAAATCTCCATTTAAAAACGCACTTTTGACATCCATTTGAAATAGTTTGAAACCCTTAGAGCTAGCGAACACACATAACATTCTAGTAGCCTCTAATCTAGCGACTAGGGAAAAGGTTTCATCGAAATCTATTCCCTCTTCTTGATTATACCCTTGAGCTACTAACCTAGCCCTATTTCTAGTTGCTACCCCATTTTCATTAGACTTGATCTTGTAAATCCACTTAGTCCCGATAATAACTCTATTAGGTGGCCTGGGTACCAAATCCCACACATTAGCTCGTTCAAACTGACTTATTTCTTCATTCATAGCAGCATTCCAATTTTCATCATTCAAAGCATCTAACACATTTTTAGGTTCAACCAATGACACAAAAGCAGTATGCACAATAGAGTTTCTAGAACGAGTGACCATACCTTCATTTAGCCCTCCTATCATAAGCGAAGAAGGATGTTGTTTGGCAATATGTGGAGGGGGTTGCCTTACATCATCCTCTGGCTCAATCAGTGAGTTTGTGATACTTACTCCTTTATCTTGGTCTTCAGATATGATTACTCTAGGTTCAGGTTTCCCCTTGTTTGGTGTCCTTGGTTTATCATAGTTTCCACCAAGTCCAAAATCATCTTCATCTATCTCATTTGCACACTCATTAGCAGATTCATCAAATATCACATTTATGGACTCTTCCACTTTGAGAGTCCATTTGTTGAATATTCTATATGCTTTGCTAGTCATGGAATAGCCCAAGAACACACATTCATCGGATTTAGCATCAAACTTGCCAAGATGATCTTTGGTGTTTAATGCAAAGCACTTGCAACCAAAGGGATGGAAGTAACTCAGATTGGGTTTTCTTCCTTTCCAAATCCTATAAGGAGTCTTCTTAATTCCAGATCTGATCAAAGCTCGATTAGTAATATAGCAAGCAGTATTTATGGCTTCAGCCCAAAAGTACTTTGGCAAACCATAGTCATGTAACATTGTTCGAGCTATATCAATCAAGGTTCGATTTTTCCTTTCCACAACTCCATTTTGTTGCGGAGTTCGAGGAGCAGAAAAATTATGACTTATTCCTAGCTTATTGCAGAAGAGTTCACACTCTTCAGAGATAAATTCTCCACCATGATCACTTCTAATGCGAGCAACCTTAGATTGTTTTTCTTTCTCCAATTTCCTAATAAGAGACTCAAAATTTTGAAACGCTTCACTTTTTTTAGCTAGGAACATTACCCAAGTGAAACGAGAATAGTCATCTACAATTACAAAAGCATACGACTTACCTCCATAGCTTACCACATTGGTTGGTCCAAAGAGATCAAGGTGAAGTAGTTCAAGAGGTCTCGTTGTAGATATTACCTTCTTACTCTTGAAACTAGACCTCGTTCAAGTAGTTCTATATTTTTTATTTAGTATTCTCTTCCTACATACTCGCCTAATGTGCCCAACCTTATGACAATAGAAATATTCTATGTCTCTATAACTTAGTTTTGAAGTTCCATTCCTCTCATGTTTTAATGACTCTTCAAAATCTTTGACTTGCCTTTACTACATGAATTTGATCCTAAGTTTTCACAACATCCATTAGTGGAATTATTTAAGGAAGAATTACCTTCCTTTCTTAGAAGTTCAATTTTTTTCCTTCTAATGATTCTTGAAGTTTTACTGTGATACTGGATTTCTCATCTTCTAAGACTTCAACTTTCTTAGTAGTTTCTTTTAACTCTTCCTTTAATCTGAACGCCTCCTTCTTTAGTTCATCATATTCAATTTTTATTTTGGAATAATCAGATTTTAATTTTGAGTATTTTACTTTAACCTTTCCAAATTCTAACTGAATTTCCTTGATGGTGGACACTAATTGATCATCATCACTATAGTAATCACTATCGCTAAGATAAGTATGGTTGGAAGATTTTACCTCGTTTGAGTTGTGTCCCTCTGATGGTTTCTCAAAATCAATAGCCATGTAACTTTCTTCTCTTGTTTCATCTTCATCTTCTTCTTGGCTGAAGCTCCATGTTGAAGCCATGGCTTGTTCTTTTTGTACTAGAGGACATTCAGCCTTGATATGTCCCGTTTTCCCACATCTAAAGCATCCGGTTGTGTTTTGAACCAACCATTTGCTCTTCAAACTCCAATATTTTAGAGAGATTTCTCAAAGGTTCAGTTTGATTTGTTTAAATAAATGACTTTCTGCTTACATTCAAACAACAATTGAGTTAGGGAGAAACTGTTTCTTCATGTGCAAAAATCAAAATGTTGGCCATTTCCTTCAAAAAAATATAGGTGGTAAGAAGAAAAGAAAAGGATAAGAATTGACCGCCATCTTTTTTGCACTTACAAAAATGAGCCATTTTTCTCTCAAAAGCCACATCGATTATTTTCAAGCTTCTGAAAAGTTCAAAAAATGTTTCTCCCTTTCTATTTTACAAAGAAATGCAGAAAAGTCATGGTATTTGGTATAAAAATTTGTGGAACCTTGAACTCACCACAAGATAATAATCCTTCCACACGTCCATACCACCAACCACGTTGTTACCAATTCAAAAGTCCTACATGACAAGTCATTGGTGCACAATTTTTGAGACTCGAACAACAAGCTCATGACAGAGGGATGATAGGGTGAGTGTTTCTAAATGTATGTCAAAGTACATCACGCTTTTGCATTTTTGAGAGAGACTTTCCATCATTTCTAAAAATCCAAGTAAGATCTATTTGCTCGATCTCTTATGCTATGCTTTGCAATTCCTATGTTTGAACAATTGAATATGATGAAAGACCAATCATTATTCTAGACTATTCTTATAAATCAGATTCAGAGTATCCCATGTCACATGAGTATTATGATCAAATGTCATTGGTGGTGGTTGAAAGCATCTCCATCAAGCTACATATTGCATCATCTTTAGCAATCATATGAGATTCACATTTTCCCAACTCACGGTTAGAGTTCTTGTGGAATTGGTTTTGATTGAAATTACATTTTTCATGCTTTTCTTGAGGGCAAGCAAAGGACTAAATGTGGGGGAATTTGATAATACCTGAATTATACATGTCGCAACCGTCCCTCCGGGGTCGGTCGCGTTCGCTTTTGGAGTCACCATCGATCTTACTTGGAGTGGATCGAACACTCATCGGTCGGTTCTAACCTTAGCGTCAGGACTGGGCTTGGTTTTCAATTAGGAGATTCGGGTTCGGGAGTACGGTTACGTGGGGATGTAACACCCTAACCCGGCCGGGTACTACTTTTACTAAAATGCCCTTGAAAAATAAAATAACCAAATCTTGAATTTCAACAGGAAAAATCTCATAATAAAATACTGAAAATACACTCTTGTAGTTCAAAGCAAAGCCCTAACACATGGGCAAAATAAGCTCAAACTTTAAAATCTCAATCTGATCTCCAGTCTATACTCATAATCATAAAATGCAAATAACTAGGTAGTCTCTGTCGTTGCTGCTACTAAAAATCTTAACTAGGCATCCTCCGTGACTCTTGCACTACCCTCCTCTAGCTGGCTGCCGTCGAACTTTTCCTCTCGAACTCGCTGCTCTCTCACTGCTCCTCTAGCTAGCTGCTACTGATCTGGTTCTCGCTCATTTCCTTACTAAGGCCTGGTGAGTGAGTTGGGGTCAGTCTGCTCCCTTACGTTTTAATAATTATTACTAAGGCCTGGTGAGTGAGTTGGGGTCAGTCTACGCCCTTACGTTTTAATAATTCTAATACTTGAATACTTTACTTAAACACTTAACTTTGACTAGTGGAAATTGTTTGGACTTTCAATCTTAAAATCTTAACTCTTAAACTTTGAGGGAGTTGAAGTTACTCTCCTCTCTTAAAGCTCAAATCTTGACTTAAATACTTGACTGACACGTGGATCCCTCACTAGCTAGTCCGGTTGCCAACTCATACGTATGAGAAGCCATCAAAGCTTTCCTTAAACTTAAACTTAGTTAGGGGAGTCGTAACGATTCATCCCCCTAACATCTTAAACTTATCGTGGTGGCTCTTCACCACGATTCTCAAGAGCATAACTGCTGCTCATCTTAAAAGTCTCAAGAGCATAACTGCTGCTCTGCCTCAAAGATCTCAAGAGCATAACTACTGCTCTATCTGAAAAATCTCAAATGGCAACGGACTGGCGCTAGTGACTAAAAACACTTAAAACGACTTCACCTTCTTGAAGGTGAGTTACTCCTTAAAAAGAACTTACTTCTTAAACTTTAACAATAACTGAAACATAACACTTTAAGGTAAATAGCACAAAATCACCTCATATCACCTCAAATAGCACAAAATCACCTCAAATCATAGCTCAAGCAAAGCACAAATAATCAATCATAAACATAACCAAGCAACGGTAACCATTTCGCTAAAAATACTTAAAATCATAATACTTAAAAGAATACGTAAGGCGTAGAATTTACCCCCTTTACACTCACCTAATTGGTTGATCAAGTTGACTGATCCGATTTTACTTCCTCCTCCATCACTTCTCGTTTTCCATCTTCTTTTGTCATACCCCACATCACCTGTAACCGAGAGCATGAGGATGGTCAAATTTCGCTTTCTCCTGTCTGATCCCAATGATGGCGATGCTAGGAACAAGTATATTGCTCGCGCTTCTCTCCGGGTCCAATAATTCAAAGCGCACTCCATTTTCCACTCATGGCCGAGAGCTGCTGCAGGGGAAGAGAGCGAGCTGCTCTGCCTCATTTCATCGGCACCAGGTAGCACGGGTCACCGAAATTCGATTATCACCCAGGGATTAATTCAATCCAAGTTGTCTTCTAAATGGCAGCACTTATTTCTCTCGTCTACTTGTGGTCACCGCTTCGCCGCTTGTTGGTGGCCTCGGGAGGTACGGCCTGCTTCAGTAATCATGTTCTTGATGAAATCACGATGTCCAGGGGCATCAATGACTGTGCAGTAGTACTTGGTTGTCTCGAACTTCCACAGGGCAATATCAATGGTGATACCACGCTCACGCTCGGCCTTCAGCTTGTCAAGCACCCAGTCATACTTGAATGATCTCTTGTTCATCTTAGCAGCTTCCTTCTCGAACCTCTCGATCACAGGCTTGTCAATACCTCCAAGCTTGTAGATCAAGTGGCCGGTGGTGGTTGACTTCCCAGAGTCAACATGGCCAATGACCACAATGTTGATGTTTAATCCGAAACTCAATTAATCCGAAACTCAATTAATCCGAAACTCAATTAATGTCCGTAACTTTCTCATTTTATGTCGAAATTCGACACCGCTTGAACCGATAGTTCACATTTTAAGTCCTCCTCGACATTACGGTGAAAGTTGACCCAAGGGTATAATAGTCATTTTGACTTTTGGGAAGAGCGGGGTGTAACAGGGGAAGTGAAATCACATCTCACAACGCCCAAAATTGGTGCTACTTAAGTTGATAAGTTTTTATGGGTTGGTGTATTTTTAGTAATAATTTTATATTTTTGGGTTCCCACTAGAACATTAAATTATTTTATCTTATTAGTTTACGATTTAATTATACGCCCACTAACGTACAATTTAAAGATAAAGTTTGTTGATTAGTTGGACTCAAACCTTATCAGTTGCCTACGTACCCGTAACACGGGATCAAAGTCCACGTAGTTCGTTCGAATTGTGATAATTTAGTTGTAACCACGTTCCACTGATTGTGATTCTCATATTAAGGATTTTGTTAATAAAATTTAAATAGGTTATTACGAGGTTGCTAAGAAAAACTTAAGAATTTTAGTTGTTAGGTTGTTAAGAAAAACTTATGAATCTCTTTGGTGTTAAGAAAATAGATCTTTTTTCAAACCCCTGCTAGGCTTGTTGTTAAAGATGAAAACTTGCTTTATTAAATTTTGAAGGTCTATAATGATCCTAGGGTAATTTGAAATCAAAGCTACTCATTATGACCATAATTTTGGTGGGAATCTTTCTTCTAGAATTGGGATTTGGTGAAACGATTGATTGAAAAAAACTAATATGAATTGGTAAAATATGAAATTCTCAATAACATTAGGGCTTTTATTGTGTTAGGCATACAAAACAATAACTAAAAAGAGAACTTTGTAATTACCAAAATTTGGTAATTGGGTAAAAAAAAGGGTGCCCTTAAACACAAAAAGAGGTATTTTAAAATACTCTCCCAAGTGTCTGGTTTGAATTCCTTTTTTGTTTTGAATGGATTGTTGGATTATTGATGTGTTAAAAGAGTAAATGGACTAATCTAGCTGATTAGAGCACTATGTTTAGGTAGACACTCAGCAAGAATTATGCTTTCTAGAAAACTGAAAGCGATCTAAGTCGATTCTTAGCATGCAGGTGATAAAAAGCTAGATGTCTATCATAGCATATAACGAAAGAAATGAACGGCGTAAAGAGGCATACCTGTTACAAAAATCAAAATTTCTTGATGCCCGCTTCACATAAAGATTTAAGCACTCTATCTAATGGATTATGAAATAAGAAGCATCAGTTACAATCATATTAAATGATTTCATATTACTATATGGATATATGGATGAATATATGCTTGTGTGATTGGTGGAGTGAAGAAACACCAACCTGTGTATTTTGTTGTTTGGTGGTGGAGTTTGACGGCGATGGCTTCTTGCTATCTCTGACTCTCTGCCCCCTTCGTGCTTCTTAATGCTCCTGGTCTGCACCTTTAGTGTTTAGTGCTCTGTCTCTTTAGTATTTTTAGCTTTTTTCCTTTCCCTCTGCCTCCCTTATCGTTGAGGTAAGAAACATCATATATACTCCCCTTTTACTGAAGCTTCCTTTTGTGCTGGCCACTTTGTATTTGTTCTTGAAGTGGTGGACTGATCCATCCCCTGTGATGGCAAAATTCTGTTGGTCTTAAGAGGAGGTGGTCGTTTTGTTGTTTTTGAGAGAATGGCAGTAAAAATCTGTTGGCTCTTGAGATGTGATATGGATCTGCTGCCTCTTGGGATGTGATATGGACAATGGGGTTGGTTGACCGGTTCGAATAGAAGTGACCGGGTCGACCAGTGTTTCTTTGGTTGACTGAATTGGTTGACCTAATCGGACTAGGCCACAAATCATGGGCCTGAATTGGGTTTATGGTTTGAAAATTGGGTCTAAATGTGGGCTGCTGGTTTGGGCTAATTTCTAATAGTTTTTTTTGCTGGTCCTTGATATGTTTGTGGCCCAAGATGATGATCTATGGAGGCCCAAAAAGCCTAAAAGGCTAGGCCTCCAATTCTGATTGGTGCCCAAAGATGGAAGAAGTCTTTTCTTTGTATTTGTTCTTAATTTCTTATTTGTTGATCTTTTAAATGTAATAATTATTAAGTGTACATTTTTACTTTGTAATTACGCATGTAATTATTTTTGTGACTTATCATTAGAATGTTGATTTAATTATTGAAATGTATGGCCCAAACATTCCAATGATTCTTTCCAACCCAATTTGCTTGCTTTTTCTCCAATCGTAACCCAAATCCCAACTTCTAAGTAAATAGTTCCTAGCTATGAATTTTGACCAATATTACTAAGATTACCATTTTCCACCTATCCCATTTGAGCAATTTTAAACCTATGCCACCAATCGTTAACTAGATATGGTAATATTAGTATAGGTTGTGACGGCATACTACTCTTGTTATAAATAAAGCGAATTTGGGAGCTATTAGCCACTACTAACCTAGTACAAATATTAGGACTAAATAAAAAGTGAACTTGGAAATCGTTGGTACTTATTGATTTGCCACTGCTAATCTCAACCAACCTCGTCCAAACTTTCACTTTCACTTTAATTTCCATTTTGAATTTTAATTAGGATATTCTTTCGAGTTTTGAGTAGGATGGTTGCTCCGGACAAAATGTGGTGTCTACAATACATATATTCACCTACACTTTTGCATCCTAAAATGACCTAAACGGTACCAAGTTTATTTGATTTCTCGATTTTACGCTTGGTTTTGTGTTTGAGTGATGTTTTAGGGTATTCTATCTAATAAGAACGAAAAAATGAGCTGCTTCTACAAAAAGATGGTTAGGGTTTGAAATTTGGCGCTTCCCCTTTTGGTGTCAATATACGAAACCCAGTGTGTATTATGGTGATAAAACACGAAGAAAGAGGTAGTTAGCAATGCAGAGTCAAACCGTCTCCTACTAAACATAAGGAAAAGTTGTCAAAAGGTCCAACGTGGGCATCAACATGAATACAAACCACGTTCAGGGTAACACACCCTAGAACGTGGCCACGTTGAACACCACGTTAACAAAAGTTAAGGAGCTTTCAAAGGGTAAACGTGGGCATCAACGTGGCCATGTTCACATACCACGTTCAGGGCAACACACCCTGGAACGTTGCCACGTTGAAGACCACGTCAACAAAAGTCAAAGAGCTTTCTAAGGGTCAACGTGGCCATTAACATGGCCATGTTCACAGACCACGTTCAGTGCAACACACCCTGGAACGTGGCCACGTTGAAGACCACGTCAACAAAAGTCAAAAAGCTTTCAAAGGGTCAATGTGGGCATCAACATGCCATGTTCACATACCACGTTTAAGGCCACATTGAAGACCACGTCAATAAAAGTCAAGGAGCTGTCAAAGGGTGAATGTGGGCATGAACAGAGCCATGTTCACTGTCAGAATCACGTTTCACATTTATTTCGATGGAATCACATTTACGACGTTGTCGGTTGTTGGATCTAACATGGCTCAGGAACATGGTCGTGGTTGTTGGGCACGTCAACCTTTTCTGCACGTTTAAAGAGATCAAGCGATAGTTTCGTCCATGACTAGTCAACACGGTCTGGAACACGACCGTCTTCGTCGACCACGTTGAGTAAAAAATTCAGCCAATCAATCTCTACCATGCTGACACATCGATCTAGCGTCCAGCTATGAACACGGTCTGGAACACAGTCATGTTCCTAGATCACGTTAGAGCTTCTTCGTATAAATAGAAGCTTGCAAGAGAAGAACACACACTACACACCCCTACTTTGAGACTTTGGTCTTTCTTTCTTTCTTTCTTTCTTTCTTTCTTTCTTTCTTTCTTGTGTTTGAAGTTAGCTGAAACTCTGTCCAATTTGATTCCAAACTTTTGTTAATGTTTTTATTTCATTAATCATATCTTGTATTTCATCCATTGTAGTTCCCATGTTTGTGGTCGTATTTGGTAATACCGTGTATATTACGTTATTGAGATTACGAAATAAACTTCTATTCTGTGGGGTTTTGATATTCATTTGTGGTAGTAGATTGGTCGGTTTCCATCGTTTTCGCCCAACGATTATTCCCCTGTCGCAATTTTGCCTGGTGTAGTCTATTAACTCAATATATATACAGTATTGTCGACCCCTCCCTCTTCATCGTCGTTGTCATCATGGTAATGTTCTCAACCTTCATCTTTCTAAATCTCATAATGTGCGACTAATCTTCTAGTTGTTCCGGATTTGATGAACCCTAATATATTTTACATGGATTGAGTGGTATCTTTGATATAGACGTGTTTATATCGTTCTTACGATCTTTTCTCGACTTATCATGTGAAAGTATCAATAGTACGCGTCTATTGTATTTTTTGTCTGATCATGTAAATTTTGCATGTTAGATCTCTCGTGAAAAGAAGGAATTGATCGTAGCCACCGCCGATGGGGTCACATAGTTCCTCTGGATTAGATTAAAAACCTAATACAAAAATTCACAAATATGGTTAATGCTTTGGTTTCATAGTCTTGTAAGCCACGATTTCACTTGATTCTTAAGCGAAAGGGTGTTAATACATGTGCGAACGGGTTAACACTAAATTGGGAATTTCACGGTCTAAGATATGAACACTCGTCTATGTTAAATTCAACTTGTCTGTATAATGCATATTAGGGGGATTCACTTCCGGGATCACTACTTCTTCACTTGATTTTACGTTGAAATTGTTTGTTTGTGTCTTGTTTATTGCATGAGTGAAATCCTATACTTGAAAATCAACTAAAAACAATTGACTAGATAATAGGTAAAAGCTGAGTACTAGTACACGAAGTCTCTGTGGCTACGACCTTGCTTCCTGCTATACTGCTCTAGAACGGTAGCTACCCTTGCCTATTTTCCTGTGTTAGTTACGGGCGATCAGCTAAAGTACAGGCCTTGCAGTAAGATATAAATCTCTTTACTTCATGCATATAATATGGGCCACATAAAATTATCCATTGGACAATACTAAAAGAAGAAAAAAAAGGTTGAATTAACTAGTCCCTTTACCCCCACTGCCGTTATAAGCCAACGAGTAAAAAACGCAACTAAAGGCCAAATTCAAATTGTTAGTTTAAATAGATAAGTATTAGTAAGGTAAATTAACCGTCTAACAGTGTTAACAGCGATTTAATTTCGCATGGTAACCGCGGGTTCTGACACAATATCCCATCATTGAGATCATTCTTGTATCTCATCATTGAGATTATTCTTGTAGCTCATCATTGAGATAATTCTTTGTATCTCCTCATTGCTAGGCGACCTAGCTAGTGCTCTTGTGGTTAGCTTTCATTACGTAATGGTCTGCTTTACTAGTCTAGTGGGTTGCATTTTAGAATTCATGGCATTCTTAATTATGTTTTTTGCATGCTTAATTTATGTTTGGCACACATTATTTGCATCGAAGTATGAGGGCGTGCTGCTGAAAATTAAATAAAAATGGTGTATAGGAACAGTTAATTCGCATGGATTACACGTGTACTATTAGAAAGGAACAGTTAAGTCTCATCGTTACTCAGTAACTTAACCATCAAAAAGTGTTAACCCCCTAGTAATTGCGCATGACAACCGATGTTTTTGACACAATATCTCCTCAATGAGATCATTCCCCCGCCCCCACGATCTTCTGTCGTTAATTCCTTAATGTCCCATCTTCTCTCCACAACCTGGTCGTTTCTTTCCTCTATTAGTCGCTCACTATAACTCCTCTTTCTTCTCATCCATTTCTCCTCTCATTCACTTTCAGTTTCTAGAATGGCTAGCCAAATCCACACTGATCTCAGAAGACCAATGACACTACTCACATTGTCAAACTTGGATTGCAGCAGTGTCACGAAGCATGCTGAGTTCTACTCCTTCTCTAGAAATACCACCATCATCAGCGAGTACGAGTTCATTTCCCTCTCCCCTTTCCATGCTGAAGTGAAGACCCTGATCACCAATCTCAGTTTGGAATATTACTTCTCCATCCGCAAGCCCAATTCGACCAGGTACTTCCCGCTGGTAGTTCGGAAGTTTACCACAACCTACGTGCTGATGGTCCTGGCGAATCCTGTATGAGCTCAGTATTTTCGGGGCACCGTCTCTGTTTAAAAATGAAGATTTTGTAGAGATGCTTGATCTGCCCTCCAATGGTCTCAGCGTTCGTTCTGCACTTGGCTTAGAAGCCATGACTTCAACTTTCACGACGAACTTCTCAAGCTCACAAAGGGGAACTTTGATGTTCAGGCGCTTCCGTATCCGCTTCGACTGCTGGGCTAGATTCTGGTTAACTTCTTCCTGCCTTGCTTTCACAACCATGGCACCATTAAGAGGCTCGACCTGTTCGTCCTTGTCAATGCTCATCGCGGACAGAAGGTAAATCTCTCCTCTCTCATGTGTCTGAACATATTGAGTGCTGCTCCTCGGGAGAACAACTAGTGGACGACTTTGCCTTATGCCACGCTTGTCTCCAAATTTCTCGGGCGCGTGGCTATGGATGGTGGGTGGTGGGAGAGATGAAGGAGAAATTAGTGTGTATAATTTTTTTAATTTTTGTTGGGTTTAATAAAATATTTTGTGTTTATAAAAAAATTAATGTATAAATTTTCATTTATATTTAAACAAATATGACGTGACACTGTTAAAGTTTGTAACGGAAATAGCTAGATTTGTCATAAATCTTTCAAAATTCCAACTATTTTATGTATTTCGATAGTTGTGGCTATATTTGTCACAAACATGAAAGTTGTGGCTATGAAAGTGTATTTTGCCTTATTATTATTGTGATTCACTTAGTTGGATTCATTTTGGTATATTTCTAGCAAAGATTATCTGACTTGTGAATAAAACAAGAGGAGTGGGGGCATGAGATCCGATGAAAAACCCCTAAGGGGTTCTCATTTTCCAAACCCACCTTGTAGCCATCAGATTCATTCTCTTTACTTCTTTATTTAAGTTAATGAACAAGATCACACGAAGTATTTGGAACAAAAATAATACCACATGTGATCTCTCTCTATTATTTATTTATTTATTTATTTCTCACAAACCCACCCCCCACTCTCTCTCCTATCCGCCACTCTCTTCCCTCCCGCCCAAAATCCTAGTCCCTCCCCTTCCCTCCATCTCTCCCTCATACCATCATCCCCCCTTTCCCAAAAATCATATTGATTCATAAAAAGATCACGAATTACATTCTGGACTCAACTCAGGCACGAAAATCAAAGGATCAACATGAAGCCAGAGGGAAAGAATGGGTCTTCCTAGCCACTGAATATGCTACCCTATTGCTAATCTGACCCACAAATCAAACATGAAAATCACTATTCAGAGTGATCATATGGAGAATCTCCTAGATAATAGCCCTAACAAGGTTGCCTTATGCATCCTTGGCATTAATCTTATCAATGAGCACCTTCGCACCACCTTCAAACCAAACTTGAGCAACGCCAAGATTCTGACACCACTAAATAGTTTCACGGAGGACAATAGTCTCCACTACAAGAGGGTCAACAATGTTTTCAAGAACCATTCCTCTTGCTAAGACCATAGATCCTCCACTATCCTTTAAGATCAGCCCTCCCCCTGAATGTGAGTCAGCACGTACTGCACCATCCCACATACAGATGACAAAGGTTGAATATACCACCTCCATATTTGACTACAAAGGAAACCGATCTCGGATCACTCTATCTAGTGGCGGATCCAAAAATCATTATAGGAGTGTCCTCTTCCAAAAAATAAATTAAATTAAAAAATAAGGGGTTGTTTGCTTCATGGATTTGAATGATAGATTTGGTACCCAAATCCATTCCATCATGGATTTAAGGGAAATCCATTGTTTGCTTACACTTTTTACTTTTTAGAGACAAAAACCATAGGCCCCACAGATTTCAAGGGTCCAAATTCGTGGACTTCACAGACTTGTAAATCCCACATATTGATGTAGGATTTGGAACATGCCATAAATCAATGATAGAATTTTACCATTATACCCTCATGAACTTGAGATATTTCAAGGTTGCCCCACATTTACATATTGTACTTTATTATTAATCAATTAGTTAACAAAAAATAATAATATAGATATTCAATTAATGTACAAACATGAGTTAGATTTCTATGTCATTCCTTATGTTCTAGTTTCTTTGACCTTTTCATGAAACGTGAAATTCTTTATTCTCCGGGTTCTAATATATTTTGCTATATGTTACTTTTGAAAAGGTGGATAAAGAATTGATAACTGATATATGTCACGTTAAAATTTAAATGAAAGTTTATCGTTTATTATTATTGTCCTTCTGGCAACATTATGTCTATTAGTAATAGTACGTTTTGTCCTTGTTTTGTGTACATATCATAAACATGACAAACAAATAGAAAAGGATAGTAAGATAATTTTGTCCTTGTTTGACGGTCGTCTTGGTTTCTGTTCGATCAAATCAACGACGCCGACATTCGGCGGCGGATATTTGACTGTTGTGATTGACTTAGTGTTTTGTGTTTACTTGAAAACAGTGCGCATTGAATGCGCGAGTTTCACTAATGAAACAAATTGGCACACCTGGTGGGTCGTGTGTGTTCAAATGGCTCCGCGATGAAGGAATCAGGAAGGGGATGTTTCGCCCGGATTCATGGAGGAACATGTGGCCAACATTGAAGGAGGCCAAGGAATCGGTGCTGAAGACATAAGCGGGTCCGAGAATTTGCCGTCCACAGCTGGGTCGACTGAGGATTTGCCAATCCGCCATTTCATGGAGGAAAACCGTCGCATGTTTGCTAGCCTCAACAATGAGTTCGCAGGCTTCAAAGGAGAGTTTGTCGGCTTCAAAGGCGAGGTAAATCAGCGTTTTGACGCTTTAAGCCAACTCTTTGAAGTTGTGACTAAAAACAGGCATGATTTTGATGTTTTTGTTGATAAAAATCTACGTGATATGAATGAAATCAGGGAGCTTTTGGGTAGACCAGTAATGCAACCTAGGGATTTGTCGTTAAACGGTGAAAACAATCTAAACAGCGAAACTGGTTTTCCAAACAACAGTGCCCGAATTAGTCTGCCAAGACAAGGAGTTCCGCCGACACCGGTGGTGAACCCACCAACTCCGCGAGTTAATCTTGGCGAGACTAGCACCGCTGCTAACACTCGGGTTGAACCACCGCCGTTTCACGGTGAGGGTCCACAAAATATCCCGGAGACCAGACACTACGTGGCTCCGATGAGCGGTACAATTGGTGGAGGAACGATCAACAATGATCATGTTCCGCCACGCGGTTACCAGCAAAACGTGCCTCCTCCTCCGAACAGGCTTGGCATGGATCCTGGTGGATTCACACCACAAGGGGGGGCAACTCGGGGGACAAGACGTTAATGTGATTCGAGATCAGGTAGCACAGATGCTGGTGGATCAGTTTGGTTTAGGGATTAGACCAGCGATGCCGCCGGTATACAGAAAACCATATCCGGATTGTGTCGATAGATACTACCCCTTTCCACGTGGTTTTCGCGTTCCTGATTTCATCACCTTCAGCGGGACTGGGGATCAGTCCACTGTCGAGCACGTTTGACGATTCACGGTTCAGTGTGGTGATGTGAGTGATTTCTTGAAGTTGCATTTGTTTGGCAACTCGTTGACCGGTCCCGCATTCACGTGGTACGTCAACTTGCCATCGAACTCAGTTCAAAATTGGCAGCAAATTGAGCAAATGTTCCATTCCCAGTTCTAGCGTTCTGAGCCAGAAGTAACAATGGCAGACTTGGCACGAATACGCCAACATCCAAGAGAAACGGTGGAACACTTTTTAACAAACTTTAAAAATGCAAGAAATCGTTGTTTTGTGAACTTAACAGAATGTGAATTTGTTAAACTTGCCCAGGGTGGATTGAAATTTGAACTTCGTAAAAAGTTTCAAGATAGGGAGTTTTTTGATTTGTTTCAATTGATGTCCTCCGCTGTTAGATACGAATCTCTTCTCCATGAAGAAGAACACAAGAGAAGTGGCTCTCGTGGACAATATTTCCCTAATTTTGAAAACTATGGTGTGAATTACGTCGGCAACGATGCTGACGAGGTTGAAGTTGATTTGGAAGAGATTGTGCAGGGGAAGCCATATGTGTGTGCTTCTCTAGCCAAGGCCGATGGGGAACCACAAGGTGGAAAGCCCAATCGTGCTCCAATTAAAACTAGGAGATATTCCTTTGATGTTTCAAAATTAGAATTGATTTTCGACCAGCTTTACAAAGATGGTCAAATTAAGTTAACTGGGGGGGGGGGGGGCATACTATCCCGCCAGCTGAAAAATTAAAAGGGAAACGATACTGTAAATGGCACAACAGCGTATCTCATTCAACTAACATGTGTGTTGTGTTTCGCAACGTTGTGCAGGATGCAATTGAGAAAGGTCGGTTCAAGTTCCCAGAGCCGAGGAAAGAGGCCATGATTGTCGACACAGACCCTTTCCCAAACGTTGTCGGCGTCAACATGGTCAATCCCAATTTCTCTAAGATCAACCTGCCACGTTTCAAGCTGGTGGTGGATACAACGCCACCGCCGAGTGGTAGTTCTGATGTGGCCCAGGGTGCTTCATCCTCCCAAGTGCAGGAGGGGCCACGCTTGGACCCAGCTGAGGAAGAAAAGTTGTGTGCCAAGTGTCCCGGAAAGCTAAACATTGGGGGTGCAAGACCGAGCCAGTCGGTCCACCAGAGATTGGGACCACGACAGTTCAAACCGAGGTATCCCTCATATGAACACAATGTCGAAGGAGTACGTGCACCTACATGGGAAAGAGGGCAACGTAGACAGTGGGTTGCTCAAAGTGCCCCACCTTTCAAAAGTCTACCTTTTGGACTTGCCCAACCGGTGAGAGGTTCTCCACCTGTCAGGAGAACCTTCAGGATGCTGAATGTGCCACAGAGTTGCTGGAACACCTACGACGTCTGCCGTCAGTAGCCCATCAATTGACGGGATGACAAGGACGCAGTATCGAAGGTACCTCCGCAAGAATGCTCAAGGAAGGAGGAATGCAAACTTGCAAGCAAATGTGAACGTGGACAACTCTGCCACGGGTCTGAGAGTGACTGTGGTCGTCGGTGCTGGAAAAGTTGTCAAGGACAAGCTGGACGAGAACGATCAGGGAGTCGCGGGAGAGGCTTAGTACGATGCTGAGTTGGATGACTCCCTTATCAAAGAGGAGATGCTGGAATTGGAGGAGCCGAAGTCGAAATTTGATCGAAAAAACAAGGATGACGATGATGACAACCAATGTGCACCCATGACGATCAAGTTTGGAAGTCTACCACCGGTGGTGGTGAACAACTACATCTTGCCTTTGATTTTCCACATTGATTTGAAAAATCAGGGAGAGGATGGCGATGTCGTGATGGAGGTTGAAGAGTTGGACGAAGCTGCTCAAGAGGTCAACGTTGATGACCTGGTGAGGGTTTTGCTCAACTAACTTTAGAGGAGGAGAGCGAGGAGCTAGCAGTGGCAGAACTGGTTGGCGAGTCCACAAATTTGCCAATCTAGGCTGAGCCGTGGAGTGCACTGATGGCTCGCACGAATGGTCGAATTGACTTGGCAGTAGAGTCAGCCAAACAGAACAAGAGTTCGCAGCGGATCCTGAAAGAGCTGTACGAAGCAGGCCACAAGGCTGTTGGGCTACTAAGCGAAGATGGGGGAAGATATCCTTTTTACGTGTTATACCAAGGCCCGAAAGAGTCAACAAGTGTGCCAGTGGAGAATATCACATGGGGATCAGAGTTCGACGAGGTGGATAAATCTATCCGGGCTGCAGAAGCGAAGGGGAAAGCCGTGGACGAAGGAACCACGGGTGAAGAATCGAACAGGGTCATTGTTTTCAACGAGCCCGAGCCGAAGATGATGCGTCATTTGAGGCCTCTCTACATCAAGGCCACACTTGATGTCGTACCAATGTCGAGAGTCTTAGTTGACAATGGTGTCGTAGTAAATGTGATGCCAACAAGGATTCTGAAGAAGTTGGGCAAAAACACTAATGACTTGATCCCAACGGAAGTGTTTGTGACCAGTTTCAATGGCGGATCCACTTCTGCCAGGGGAATCCTCCCAGTTGTCGTGGGAGTTGGATCACAGAAGCGGATGAGTGCTTTCTTCGTGGTGGATGGAATGATAAGCTAAAATGCACTACTTGGCCGGGATTGGATCCACGCCAACAAGTGCGTTCCTTCATCGCTGCATCAGTGTTTGATGATCTGGAATGAAGACGGTGTCCTTGAGGTGGTACAGGTCGATACGAAGCCGTTTGCCATTGGGGCCAACTTGGCTGAACCTTATTTGTACCATGAAGATTTTGGACCACTCGAAATCAGGAGCGGGGATGGAGGAACGTCCAACGTCATAGTGTCAAGTGCACAGGTGTTGAGTAAGGCGTGCTTGGACCCATTGTCCGAAATCGTGAGACCATCGATGATCACATTAGATGGTCCACTGAAGTCTGATGAACAAGTCAATGATGAGTGAACCATCTCGAGAGAAGGTGGTGGAGGCCGAAATCACGGCCTTGCGGGAGAATTTGGCCGTCTATCAGTGTGAACAAAGGCTTGTCTGTATAGAGCCTGTTCTTAATGGCCGACTGTGTTCCCGACGATGATGACTTGTCGACCAACGGCGAGGGTGTGAGTGACGAAGTGGAGAAGAAAAAAAACCTGGATGCATGTGACATTTTAGAGGAGATCAACCTTGGCACGGAGGAGGATCCACGCCCAACCTTCATTAGTGCTGGTTTGTCAGAGTCTGACAGGTACGAGTTAATTGAATTCCTTAAAGAGTTTAAAGACTATTGTGCATGGGATTATCATGAAATGCCTGGTCTTGATAGGAAGTTAGTTGAACATAGACTTCCAATTAAAGAAGGGTATAAGCCACATAGACAACCACCTAGGCGTTTTTCGCATGATATCTTGAATAAAGTGAAAAAGGAAATTGAACGTTTAATGAAGGCTAAGTTTATCAGGACTGCTATTTATGTGTTGTGGTTGTCGAACATTGTGCCTGTTAGAAAGAAAAATGGCAAAATACGTGTTTGTGTGGATTTTAGAAATTTGAACAATGCTACGCCGAAAGATCTGTATCCCATGCCGGTGGCTGACATGTTAATCGATGCCATAACCAGACATGTCAGGTTTTCCTTCACGAACTGTTACTCGGGCTATAACCAGATATACATAGGCGAGGAGGATTTACAAAAAACGGCGTTTCGGTGTCCAGGATCCATTGGCTGTTTCGAGTGGATCATGATGCCATTTGGATTGGCCAACGCCGGGGCAACTTACCAACGAGCCATGAATGCAATATTTCATGACTTGATTGGCGAGCTTGTCGAAGTGTATGTGGACGACATCGTCGTCAAATCAAAGGTGACAAACCACCACCTTGCTCATTTGCGCAAAGCATTTCTGCGTATGCATGTTCATAAGTTGAAATTAAATCTGCTCAAATGTGCGTTTGGTGTGAGTGCAGGAAATTTTCTTGATTTTCTGGTAAACCAACATGGAATTGAGGTAGATGGCAATAAAACAAAATCCATCATCAATGTCGCACCACCATCCAGTAAAAAAGAGTTGCAACGTTTCCTCGGCCAGGTAAACTACATTTGAAGATTTATCTCGAATTGTGCTGGCCGGACTCAAGTGTTTTCCTCATTGTTGAAGTTGAAGAAGAAAGAAAGGTTTGTATGGAGGGAAGAACATCAACGTGCGTTTGATGATATCAAGAGATACCTGGCGACTCCGCCGGTAATGAACTCTCCCAAAGCAGGGGTGCCGCTGAAGTTGTACTTGTCGACCACGGACACTTATGCGGCGTGTTTGTTGGCTCAAGACAATGAAGCAGACAATTAAGAGGCCATTTATTATCTAAGTAGGCTTCTGAATAAGGGCGAGAGAAAATATTCCCCCATAGAGAAGTTGTGTTTAGCGTTGTACTTTTCCTTTACAAAGCTCCGCTACTACCTGGTAGTGGTCTCTGTCCAGGTACAACTCATTTGCTAGACAGACTTGATTAAATACATGCTATCTCGGCCAATTATTCATGGCCGAATTGGAAAATGGACCTTGGCTCTGTCTGAATTTAATTTAGAGTATGTACCTCAACGAGCCATAAAAGGGCAAGCATTGGCGGACTTCTTGGCAGATCATCCCGACATTGAAGTGCCAAGCGATCTCGTAGAAGTTTGCGAGGTTGGTATAACGCAATGGATCCTGTATTTTGACGGATCTAAAACTCGTGGCGGTGCTGGAGCTGGCGTGATGTTGAAAGCACCATCAGGCCGGGCCATGCATTTTGCATTCTCATTGGATTTTCCTTGCACCAACAACCAAGCTGAATATGAAGCTTTGGTAGTAGGGCTAGAAATTCTCATTGAGCTTGGAGTCCGCAACGTTGATGTTAAGGGAGATTCACAGTTGGTGGTTCATCAGGTCCGCGGGGATTTTCGCTGTATCAATAGCGTTCTAGAAACATATCTAGACCATTTATTGTCGTTGACTGCCCACTTCGACAGTATGGCGATCAACTTTGTTCCTCAAATGGACAATTGTGAAGCCAACTATCTTGCACAAATGGATTCATGATTTAAAGAGTTTGCGAAAAGCAATGCCGTAGAAAAGATAGTGGTGCAAACAATTAAGCCCTTACGGGAGCGGTTGAGAGTTGAGCAAGTGTGCGTGCTGGAGAAAGACGCCGATGACTGGCGTGCACCATTGTTGTCTTACTTGCAAGACCCGAAAAAGGTTGTTGACCATGTTGTCAAGTTTAGAGCAAGGAGCTACGTAGTGTTGGATGGGAC